TGCATAATTGTACGCTTCCGTTTGAATAAAATGTACATCTCCATGCATAATTCCGTGCTTCCTGTTGATTTGCTAATATTCACCCCGCAATGTCCTCTACACTGCTGCAAGTTTAAAGGATTAAACAACGACACATAGTCTAAAGAATCAAAATGCTGTTGTCCAGTTTGATTTGGACATCGAGGTGCAAAATTACAGTGTACTGACTTTGTTTCATAAATATCTTGAAGGACACTCGTGTTGAGCGAGGTGTTTCAAGAAAACGAGGATGTTATGTTATAATTTCCGTCATAAACTTTGAGTAGTCATCTCAAAGTTTTAGCTTGTAAGCGTGGTTTAACATAACGTACCGCAAAAAAATCAATCATCCATATTTAGTCTTCAGTGTGTATGTATACTCTTGTGTATGTGCTCAATATTTATGCACGTGTTTTATATTTTGGACGTGTTTTTGTTACGGTAACTGCATTGAATATGGAGGTGTTACCAGCACCTCGCACCCGTCCAGAGACCTCGTGGGCCGCTGTGGTGGCTACGAGACTTCCCTCAAGGACATTGCTCTTATCCACCACAGCGTTACCGACCGGGAACGCCGATGAAGTTGAAGGTTGTTAATACAGAACTTTATTCGTGGCAGGGGAATGCCAAACAACATGGAGTGGCTCTTCTTCTGAGAATGAAAACCCGTATACATGTGTGTGTGTATGTATGCAGGTACAATCGTGCGTGTTCGCAGTGGAACGCAATCCTTGTGTTCGTACACTGCTGTGTATGTACACTGCGTTGTATGTCTGTATGTATGTACACCCCTGTATATGCACACTCGTGCGTGAATGCACACCGCTGTATATATATACAGTCGTGTTAGGATGTACACTCGTGTGTGCATGGCTACTTGTCCATATTATTTTTAAGGAAGGAAATGGTAGCAATAATGTACGATCAGTCATCTTTAAGAACACAAATCAGGTCTTTATTAATCTTTATTAATTCGCTTTTTCAAACAGTTAAGGAACTATGAAAATAATTTTACTTTAATTAATTCAAAAGTCATAAAATATTCTCAAAATCAAACACGTGAACGTCTTACTCCTTCCCAATTGACGTCTATATCGACTGAAGCCATTCGTCCACAAGTCCAAGCCATCAAACACAGGAACAACGAACGCACATTCTGAAACCGACACTTTGAAGAAGTTTTTTTATTAAACAATGACTAAAAATTAAGAAAAATGTTTAAAATATAGGGAAACGTTATGATCACAGTCTTTCTCCAACTTTAGCTCAACAAGGCCATTTAGTCATGACAGTAAAATCAGGAATTGGACCACCTCACAACCACTGTGCATCACACCACATCAACAAGTAATCCGATATGACTACAAAGCACCACCTTAACGTGACCAAGTCTAGAATAAACTACAACACTCAAGTAGCTGTGAGAAGATGACAACACGTGGCACCTTCTACCATAAACACCACACATTTAACAGTCCCGATGATACAACCACCAGACGAAGCAACGCATCTATGGAAGTATAAAATTGTTGTCATCCTGAAATAAGTGAACACTTCTGAAGCTTAAAAGGAATTCCTTTTTATCCCAACACATCATAGAGCATTCACAACATCCCTCTAGCTTGGAGTACTGGAAATCACTGAAGTAATAATGTGTACCTTATTGATTGATCTAATAGAGACACAATCATGCACATTCCAGGACTTCAAGAGTTAACAGAAGTCCTCAAAACTTTGACCCTCCAGCCACTCCAGCAGCGATTTCTCAGCATCCACCTGCATGAGGTCGAAAGAGTAATTGTTGCCAGGACTCATTACCTCCACTACATCCAGGCATCCCGTGTGAGTTTTCTGGTGACTGTGAAGATTTGATTTCCATGCAAATGCCTTCCCACACGCAGAGCAAGTGAATGGCTTCTCGCCCGTGTGAGTTTTCTGGTGACTGTGAAGAATTGTTTTCCGTGCAAATGCCTTCCCACACACAGAACACTTGAATGGCTTCTCGCCCGTGTGTGTTTTCTGATGACTCTGAAGATGTGATTTCTGTGAAAATTCCTTCCCACACACAGAGCATTTGAACGGCTTCTCGCCCGTGTGTGTTTTCTGGTGACTCTGAAGATGTGATTTCTGTGCAAATGCCTTCCCACACACAGAGCAATTGAATGGCTTCTCGCCCGTGTGTGTTTTCTGGTGTCTGCTAAGAGTTGATTTCCGTGAAAATGCCTTCACACACACAGAACAATGGAATGGCTTCTCGCCCGTGTGTGCGTGGCACTGTGGAGAGTTCATCTGCTCCATGTGACTGATTCTACAGAGCAGAGTAACAGTCGCGGGTGTTGTTGAGAGTTAACGGTGCCCTCTATGCTGCGTGGATGTGTGGCTCAAATCGCCAAAAAGCAAACTCTCACGAACGTCCAACCGAGACACAGTAACGCCCCGTAAGACGGACTACGCACGCGATTACCAGGTTATCCACTAACAAAGACACTTACTTGTTGATGCACGGCGTATCGATGTCCCTGTAACCCGTCTAAAGAGATCGCCACGAACTCTCCCGAAGCAAAGTCGCCAACCAGTCGCCAAGCAATCGTGCTCGCCAGGCTGAGTCTCGCAGGAGAAGGGAAATCTGAAGAGCGATGAGTCGAGCGTCTATCCTCAGGAAAATTCCTCTCCAAATGGTCTTGAGGTCTGATTTTAAGCCCCTTATAACTCCCCTCTAGCATCCAAATCCTTTGTTCTCGATTTGGCCTATCATGGACTTTGCATTCAATTGTAGATTTGTAACATTTACAATACGCATATAAATCAACAAAGCTTAGCTAATCTGGCCATTTAAATTAAACCTTAATATGTATGTACATCCCACTGCATAATTGTACGCTTCCGTCTGAATAAAGATGTACATCTCCATGCATAATTCTGTGCTTCCTGTTAATTTGCTAATATTCACCCTGCAATGTCCTCTACAATGCTGCAAGATTATCATGATTTAATAGCGACATATAGTCTGAATTATCAACATAAAGAGTTTTATTTGGACTAAGAGGTGCAAATTTACACTGTACTCACTTTTTTTGTAAATATATTTAAGGACACTCGTGTTGAGCGGGGTGTTTCTAGAAAACGAGGATGTTATGTTCTAATTTCCGTCATAAACTTTGAGTAATCATCTGAATGGTTTAGCTTTGTAAGCGTGGTTTAACATAACGTACCGCAAAAAAACATCAATCATCCATATTTAGTCTTCAGTGTGTATGTATACTCTTGTGTATGTGCTCAATATTTATGCACGTGTTTTATATTTTGGACGTGTTTTTGTTACGGTAACTGCATTGAATATGGAGGTGTTACCAGCACCTCGCACCCGTCCAGAGACCTCGTGGGCCGCTGTGGTGGCTACGAGACTTCCCTCAAGGACATTGCTCTTATCCACCACAGCGTTACCGACCGGCACCGCTGGTGAGGTTGGGGGTTGTTGTTTTTGTTACGGAACTTTACTCGTGTCTCAGAAGGCGGCAGTCCCTGGTGCTTGCCATTCCCCTGCCACGAGTAAAAGTTTATGCTATTCCCCTGCCCATATCGACACGAGTGTCCTTAAATATATTTATAAATAAAGTTTACCACGGTGTAAAAACTTGCACCTCAAAGTCTAAACCACAATTTTAATACTTCAGGCTGCACTTCCCTGCTAAGGCTTTTAAACTGGCAGCAGTTTGCAGCACATTGCAGGGTGAATATTAGAAAATTAACGCGAATTATTCGGTGAGATGAACATATTACTCAGGCTTAAGCTCAATTGCCAGATTAGCGAAGCTCTGTTAGCTAGATATGCAGATTGTAAATTCCCAAAAAATAACAATTGAATGTAAAGTTCATGAAATGCAGCGTCGAGAACTTCATCTTTCATCAATGCAACATCGTTCCAAACGACCCCAGCAATGTGATGCTGGTGTCAATGTCACCAATTCGAATGCTACCTGTGACTTACAGCTTTCCACAACTTACGCCACGCTCCAAAGCCCCCTTCATTCATTTTTGTTGTGTCGCAAAAGGAGACACTCCCCGGTTGTTTAGCCGTTCCCTTTGCCACGAGTAAAGTTTTGCAAAAAAAAGACCACAACCCCGTTCCTTCATTGACGGTGGCGGACGGTAAGGCTGTGGTGGATGTGATCAATGTCCAGGAGGGAAGTCTCGCAGCCACCACAGCGGCACGCGAGGTCTCTGGACGGGTGCGTAGGGGCTGGTAACCCCTCAATATTCAATGCAATGGCCGTGAAAAAAAAACACGTCCAAAAATTATTAAACAAGTGCAAAATATTGCACAAATACACACTGGTGTATATACACACACACACCGAAGGTCGTTTGTTACAGACTAAATGGTGATGAATGTTGTGTTTGCGTTATTATAAACCACGCTTACAAGCTAAACTATTCAGATGATTATTCAAAGTTTACGATAGAAATTATAACATAACACACTCGTTTGCTAGAAGCACCCTGCTCAACACGAGTGTCCTTAAATATGTTTATAAAACAAAGTCAGTACAGTGTAAATTTGCACCTCTTAGTCCAAATAAAACTCTTTATGTTGATAATTCAGACTGTGTATCGCTTTTAAATCCTGATAATCTTGCAGCATTGTAGAGGACATTGCGGGGTGAATATTAGCAAATTAACAGGAAGCACGGAATTATGCATGGAGATGTACATCTTTATTCAAACAGAAGCATTAAATTATGCAGTGGGATGTACATACTTATTAAGGTTTAAGTACAATTGCCAGATTAGCTAAGCTATGTTGATTGATATGCCGATTGTTAATGTTACAAATTAACAATTGAATGCAAAGTCCATGATAGGCCATGTCGAGAACAAAGGATTTGGATGCGAGAGGGGAGTTATAAGGGGCTTGAAATCAGACCTCAAGACCATTTGGAGAGGAATTTTCCTGAGGATAGACGCTCGACTCATCTCTGCAGATTACCCTTCTCCTGCGAGACTCAGCCTGGCGAGCACGATTGCTTGGCGACTGGTTGGCGACTTTGCTTCGGGAGAGTTCGTGGCGATCTCTTTAGACGGGTTACAGGGTCATCGATACACCGTGCATCAACAAGTAAGTGTCTTTGTTAGTGGATAGCCAGGTAATCGCGTCTGTCGTCCGTCTTACGGGGCGTTACTGTGTCTCGGTTGGACATTCGTGAGAGTTTGCTTTTTGGCGATTTGAGCCACGCGGCTTAGAGGGCGCCGTTAACTCTCAACAACACCCGCGACTTTTACTCTGCTCTGTAGAATCTGTCACATGGAGCAAGTTAACTCTAAACCGTGCCACGCATACACGGGCGAGAAGCCGTTCAATTGCTCTGTGTGTGGGAAGGCATTTGCACAGAAATCAAATCTTAACACTCACAAGAAAACACACACGGGCGAGAAGCCATTCAAGTGCTCTGTGTGTGGGAAGGCATTTGCACAGAAATCAAATCTTAACACTCACAAGAAAACACACACGGGCGAGAAGCCATTCAAGTGCTCTGTCTGTGGGAAGGCATTTGCACAGAAATCAAATCTTCACAGTCACCAGAAAACACACACGGGTGAGAAGCCATTCAATTGTTCTGTGTGTGGGAAGGCATTTGCACGGAAAACAACTCTTAACAGACACCATAAAACACACACGGGTGAGAAGCCATTCAATTGTTCTCCGTTGGAGAGGACACGGTCATCACCCCGAAACAAACATGCGAAGATCTGCAATGAGAGTGAAGTGAAATCAAAAGTTGAAATGCAAAGTGCTGCAGTGAGTCCTGAACAAAATGAATCTTTCGACCCTATACAGGTGAATCCTGAGAGATGCCTGGATGTAGTGGATGTAATGACTCCTGGCAACAATTCCTCTTTCGACCTCATGCAGTTGGATCCTGAGAAATTGCTGGATGTAATGAGCCCTGACCACAATTCCTCTTTCGACCCCATGCAGGTGGATCCTGAGAAATGGCTGCTGGAGTGGCTGGAGGGTCAAAGTATTGAGTACTTCTGTTAACTCTTGAAGTCCTGGAATGTGCACGTTTGTGTCTCTGTTAGATCAATCAATAAAGTACACATTATTACTTCCGTGATTTCCAGTGCTCCAAGCTAGAGCGATGTTGTGAATGCTCTATGATGTGTTGGGATAAAAAGGAATTCCTTTTCAGCTCCAGAAGTGTTCACTTATTTCAGGATGACAACAATTTTATACTTCCATAGATGCGTTGCTTCGTCCGGTGGTTGTATCATCGGGACTGTTAAATGTGTGGTGTTTATGGTTAGAACGTGCCACGTGTTGTCATCTTCTCACAGCTACCTGAGTTTTGAAGTTCCTTCTAGACTTTGTCACGTTAAGGTGGTGCTTTGTAGTCATATCGGATTACTTGTTGATGTTGTGTGATGCACAGTGGTTGTGAGGTGGTCCCATTCCTGATTTTGCTCTCGTGACTAAGTTTTATATATATTTTGTTATTCTGTTGTTTCTCTTCAACGTGACTTTACCGGAAAAAACTAAGAATATGAATTACTGCAGTCACGAAAGCTTTAAATCAAAATTTAAGTGGCCTTGTTGAGCTAAAGTTGGAGAAAGACTGTGGTCATAACGTTGCCCTATATTTTAAACATTTTTCTTAATTTTTAGTCATTGTTTAATAAAAAAAACTACTTCAAAGTGTCGGTTTCAGAATGTGCGTTCATTGTTCCTGTGTTTGATGGCTTGGACTTGTGGAAGAATGGCTTCAGTCAATAAGGACGTACATACATAAGGGTGTACATACATACTTTGAGATGACTACTCTCAGTTTATGACGGAAATTCTAACATATCAACCTCGTTTTCTAGAAACAACTCGCTCAACACGAGTGTCCTTCAATATATTTATGAAACAAAGTCAGTACACTGTAAATTTGCACCTCGTTGTCCAAATCAAACTGGACAACGGCATTTTGATTCTTTAGACTATATGTCGTTGTTTAATCCTTTAAACTTGCAGCAGTGTAGAGGACATTGCGGGGTGAATATTAGCAAATCAACAGGAAGCACGGAATTATGCATGGAGATGTACATTTTATTCAGACGGAAGCATGCAATTATCCAGTGGGATGTACATACATAGTAAGGTTTAATCTAAATGGCCAGATTAGCTAAGCGTTGTTGATTTATATGCGGATTGTAAATGTTACAAATCTACAATTGAATGCAAAGTCCATGATAGGACAAATCGAGAACAAAGGATTTGGATGCTAGAGGGGAGTTATAAGGGGCTTAAAATCAGACCTCAAGATCATTTGGAGAGGAATTTTTCTGAGGATAGACCCTCGACTCATCCCTCTGCAGATTTCCCTTCTCCTGCGAGACTCAGCCTGGAGAGCACGATTGCTTGGCGACTGGTTGGCGACTTTGCTTCGGGAGAGTTCGTGGCGATCTCTTTAGACGGGTTACAGGGTCATCGATACACCGTGCATCAACAAGTAAGTGTCTTTGTTAGTGGATAGCCCGGTAATCGCGTGTGTAGTCCGTCTTACGGGGCGTTACTGTGTCTCGGTTGGACGTTCGTGAGAGTTTGCTTTTTGGCGATTTGAGCCATGCAGCTTAGAGGGCGCCGTTAACTCTCAACAACACCCGCGACTTTTACTCTGCTCTGTAGAATCAGTCACATGGAGCAGATTAACTCTAAACCGTGCCACGCATACACGGGCGAGAAGCCGTTCAATTGCTCTGTGTGTGGGAAGACATTTGCACAGAAATCAAATCTTAACACTCACAAGAAAACACACATGGGCGAGAAGCCATTCAAGTGCTCTGCGTGTGGGAATGCATTTGCACAGAAATCAAATCTTAACACTCACAAGAAAATACACACGGGCGAGAAGCCGTTCAATTGCTCTGTGTGTGGGAAGGCATTTGCACAGAAATCAAATCTTAACACTCACAAGAAAATACACACGGGCGAGAAGCCATTCAAGTGCTCTGGGTGTGGGAAGGCATTTGCATATAAATCTAATCTTAACACTCACGAGAAAATACACACTGGTGAGAAGCCATTCAAGTGCTCTGTCTGTGGGAAGGCATTTGCACAGAAATCAAATCTTAACACTCACAAGAAAATACACACGGGCGAGAAGCCATTCAAGTGCTCTGTGTGTGGGAAGGCATTTGCACAGAAATCAAATCTTAATACTCACAAGAAAATACACACGGGTGAGAAGTCATTCAAGTGCTCTGTGTGTGGGAAGGCATTTGCACAGAAATCAAATCTTAACAGACACCAGAAAACACACTGGTGAGAAGCCATTCAAGTGCTCTGTGTGTGGGAAGGCATTTGCACAGAAATCAAATCTTAATACTCACAAGAAAATACACACTGGTGAGAAGTCATTCAAGTGCTCTGTGTGTGGGAAGGCATTTGCACAGAAATCAAATCTTAATACTCACAAGAAAATACACACGGGTGAGAAGCCATTCAATTGCTCTGTGTGTGGGAAGGCATTTGCACGGAAAACAACTCTTAACAGACACCAGAAAACACACACGGGTGAGAAGCCATTCAATTGTTTTCCGTTGGAGAGGACACGGTCATCACCCCGAAACAAGCATGCGAAGATCTGCAATGAGAGTGAAGTGAAATCAAAAGGTGTAATGCATCTGTCGACCCTATTCAGGTCGATCCTGAGAGATGCCTGGATGTAGTGGATGTAATGACTCCTGGCAACAATTCCTCTTTCGACCTCATGCAGTTGGATCCTGAGAGATTGCTGGATGTAATGAGCCCTGACCACAATTCCTCTTTCGACCCCATGCAAGTGAATACTGAGAAATGGCTGCTGGAGTGGCTGGAAGATCAAAGTTTTGAGGACTTCTGTTAACTCTTGAAGTCCTGGAATGTGCATGATTGTGTCTCTGTTAGCCATTCCATTGTTCTGTGGGTGTGAAGGCATTTGCACGGAAATCAACTCTTAGCAGACACCAGAAAACTCACACGGGCGAGAAGCCATTCACTTGCTCTGCGTGTGGGAAGGCATTTGCATGGAAATCAAATCTTCACAGTCACCAGAAAACTCACACGGGATGCCTGGATGTAGTGGAGGTAATGAGTCCTGGCAACAATTACTCTTTCGACCTCATGCAGGTGGATGCTGAGAAATCGCTGCTGGAGTGGCTGGAGGGTCAACGTTTTGAGGACTTCTCTTAACTCTTGAAGTCCTGGAATGTGCATGTTTGTGTCTCTGTTAGATCAATAGATAAGGTACACATGATTACTTCCGTGATTTCCAGTACTCCAAGCTAGAGCGATGTTGTGAATGCTCTATGATGTGTTGGGATAAAAAGGAATTCCTTTTAAGCTCCAGAAGTGTTCACTTATTTCAGGATGACAACAATTGTATACTTCCATAGATGCGTTGCTTCGTCTGGTGGTTGTATCATCGGGACTGTTAAATGTGTGGTGTTTATGGTAGAAGGTGCCACGTGTTGTCATCTTCTCACAGCTACTTGAGTGTTGTAGTTTATTCTAGACTTCGTCACGTTAAGGTGGTGCTTTGTAGTCATATCGGATTACTTGTTGATGTGGTGTGATGCACAGTGGTTGTGAGGTGGTCCAATTCCTGATTTTACTGTCGTGACTAAGTGGCCTTGTTGAGCTAAAGTTGGAGAAAGACTGTGATCATAACGTTGTCCTATATTTTAAACATTTTTCTTTAATTTTCTTTATTGTTCGACTTGAACCAGTCCTGGGCTAGCCCTCGACTAGAAACAGGCTAGAGCAAGGTCTCGACTAGAACCAAGCCTGGGCTAGGCCTCGACTAGCACCAGGTCTGGGCAATGCCTCAACTGGAACCAGGCCTGGTCAAGGCCTCGTCTAGAACCAGGCCTGGACAAGGCCTCGACTAGTGCCAAGCCTGGGCAAGGCCTCGACTAGAACCAGGCCTGGGCAATTCTTTGACTAGAACCAGGCCTGGTCAAGGCCTCGACTAGAACCAGGCCTGGGCAAGGCCTCGACTAGAGCCAGGCCTGGGCAAGGCCTCGACTAGATCCAGGCCTGGACTCGGCCTCACCTAGAACCAGGTCAGGGCAAGGCCTGACTAGTTCCAGGCCTCTCGTTTCCTAGGCTGAGCCTGAACTAGGCTGCACATATCCTAAGTTGAGCCTGAATCAGGCCTCGACTAGAACCAGGCCTCGGCAATGCCTCGACTAGAACCAGCCCTGGGCTAGGCCTCGACTAGAAACAGGCTAGAGCAAGATCTCGACTAGAACCAGGCCTTGGCTAGGCCTCGACTAGAACCAGGCCTGGGAAATGCCTCAACTGGAACCTGTCCTGGCCAAGGCCTCGTCTAGCACCAGGCCTGGACTAGGCCTCGACTAGTTCCAAGCCTGGGCAAGGCCTCGACTAGAACCAGGCCTGGGCAATTCTTTGACTACAACCACGCCTGGTCAAGGCCTCGACTAGAACCAGGCCTGGGCAAGGCCTCGACTAGATCCAGGCCTGGACTAGGCCTCACCTAGAACCAGGTCAAGGCAAGGCCTCAACTAGATCCAGGCCTCTCGTATCCTAGGCTGAGCCTGAACTAGGCTGCACATATCCTAAGTTGAGCCTGAATCAGGCCTCGACTAGAACCAGGCCTCGGCAATGCCTCGACTAGAACCAGGCCTCGGCAAGGCCTCGACTAGAACTAGGCCTGGGCAATGCTTTGACTAGAGCCAGGGCTGGGCAAGGCCTCGACTAGATCCAGGCCTGGGCTAGGCCTCGACTAAAACCAGGCCTAGGCTAGGCCTCGACTAGAACCAGGCCTCGACTAGATCCAGGCCTGGGCAAGGCCTCATCTAGAACCAGGCCTGGGAAATGCCTGACTAGATCCAGGCCTCTCGTATCCTAGGCTGAGCCTGAACTAGGCCGCACATATCCTAAGTTGAGCCTGAATGAGGCCTCGATTATGCTGGGTGAGTGAGTGGGTGGGTGGTGAGTGGGTGAATGGGTGGGAGAGTGGGTGAATGGGTGGGTGAGTGAGTGGGTGAGTGGTGAGTGAGTGGGTTGGTGAGTGGGTTGTTGAGTGGGTGGGTGAATGAATGGGTGAGTGAGTGGGTAAGTGGCTGGGCTGGTGGCTTAGTGGGTGAGTGAGTGGGTGGATTTGTGGGTAAGTGAGTGAGTGAGTCGGTGAGTGGGTGGGGTATTGGGTGAGTGAGGTGCTGCTGCTACTCGCTACTAACAGCACTTGCCCCAACAGTCTGCGAAAGGCTACAGGTGGGAGCTTTGGGTGAGTCTGTGAGTGAGTCTGTGGGTGAGTCTGTGAGTGACTCTGTGGGTGAGTCTGTGAGTGAGTCTGTGGCTGAGTTAAGTGAGTCTGAGTGAGTCTGGGTGAGTCTGTGAGTGATTATTTGGGTAATGTTCAAATGTAAATACACAAATAAAGCATTTGCATTCAGTTTACAAGTGTCTGGTTGGTTTTGTGTGAGGGTGGGTGAGTGAGTGAGTGGGTAGGTGCGTGGGTGGGTGGGTGGGTGAGTGAGTGGGTGAGTGAGTGAGTGGGTGAGTGAGTTTGTGAGTGGGTGAGTGTGTGAGTGAGTGAGTGGGTGGTTGAGTGGGTGAGTGAGTTTGTGAGTGGGTGAGTGAGTGGGTGAGTGAGTGAGTGGGTGAGTGAGTGGGTGGGTGAGTGGGTGGGTGAGTGAGTGGGTGAGTGAGTGAGTGGGTGGTTGAGTGGGTGAGTGAGTTTGTGAGTGGGTGAGTGACTGGGTGAGTGGGTCGGTGATTGAGTGGGTGGGTGAGTTAGTGGGTGAGTGGGTGGGTGAGTGAGTGGGTGATGAGGTGGGTGAGTGAGTGGGTGAGTGCGTGGGTGGGTGCATGGGTGGGTGAGTGAGTGGGTGAGTGGGTAGGTGCGTGGGTGGGTGGGTGAGTGAGTGAGTGGGTGAGTGAGTGAGTGGGTGAGTGAGTTTGTGAGTGGGTGAGTGTGTGAGTGAGTGGGTGGTTGAGTGGGTGAGTGAGTTTGTGAGTGGGTGAGTGAGTGAGTGGGTGAGTGAGTGAGTGGGTGAGTGAGTGGGTGGGTGGGTGAGTGGGTGGGTGAGTGAGTGGGTGAGTGAGTGGGTGGTTGAGTGGGTGAGTGAGTTTGTGAGTGGGTGAGTGACTGGGTGAGTGGGTCGGTGATTGAGTGGGTGGGTGGGTGAGTGAGTGGGTGAGTGGGTGGGTGAGTGAGTGGGTGATGAGGTGGGTGAGTGAGTGGGTGAGTGCGTGGGTGGGTGCATGGGTGGGTGAGTGAGTGGGTGAGTGAGTGAATGAGTGGCGAGTGGGTGAGTGGGTGCGTGGGAGGGTGAGTGAGTGATGAGTGGGTGAATGAGTGAGTGGGTGATGAGTGTGTGATGCGTGAGTGATTGTGAGTGGTGAGTTTGTGAGTGTGTGTGATTGAGTATGTAACTCCAAACATCTCCATTGCTTCAATTATTTCATTCAAACAATGGCAAACTTCATCAGCAACATCATAACCTTGGTAACAGAAAATATTAATACCACCATCATCACCATCACCGTGATCACAGCTGTTTCCATGTGACAGCTTTTCATTACCTCCGCGCGGTGCCGGACTGGCAACTCTGTCGTGGACAATGCTGTGGGGTGAGGTCCAATTGTGATTGGCTCCTCCCCTCATGGCGTCTGTGACCACCACAGGGGCTAAACGGGGGCTCTGGACGGGTGCTAGGGGCTGGTAACCCCTCCACCTTCAATTAATTATCATTAAACTACGAATACAAAATTTTAATAAGCTTGTGCCGGAGGCCCTGGGGGTGACAGGCGTCTATGACGTCTCCTGGCCAAACCCCAATTGGCGGAGCCAGGAGATTGAATATCTACCCTCGGGGCTCCTCCAGAAACAACGAAAAACCACTACGGGTGGCCACGTGGAATGTTCGAATGCTCACTGCGGAGGAGAGGCTGCCACTCCTCTGTCGGGAGCTGGACCGGTACCGCCTGGATCTTTGTGGCATTCAGGAGGTCCGGTGGACCGGTTCTGGCTCCTGCCACCATGAGGGGTGGACAGTCCTCTACTCGGGGCAGCAGACTGCCAAACAACAGGGTGTGGCTCTTCTTTTGAACAAAAGAATGAAGGGGGCGTGGGAGCGTGGCGGTGAGGTGTGGGAAGCTGTAAGCCCCAGGCTATTTTGGGCTCGCCTTCCCATCAACCGGAGGCGAGGAATGGTGGTCGTAGTTACTTATGCCACCACCGCAGATGAACATCCGTGGAGGGATGCAGGCAAAGCCGATGAGTCAGATGCCTTCTATGACCTCCTGTCACAGGTGCTGGCTAAAGTGGCCCCTCGGGATAGAGTCATCATGTTGGGTGACTTCAATGCCCGAGTTGGTAATGATGCTGGCACCTGGTCTGGAGTGATTGGAGGGCATGGGCCAGATCAGCTCAATAACAACGGTAGGAGGCTGCTAGATTTGTGTGCAGCCCATGGGCTTGTAATTATCAACACGCTGTTCCGGCATCGGCGCATCCACACAACATCATGGATGCATGCCGGGTCGAAGCAAGAACATTTGCTTGACTACATAGTGACGGACCAGCGGATGCGAGCCCATGTCCTTGACACCAGGACCTACCGTGGAGCTGATCTGCCCTCTGATTATCGACTAGTCATCTGTAAGATGCCCCTGCCATTCTTCCACTCCGGTGGTGGGTGTACACCCAGGACCCCATTCCAACCTAAAGTGGCCTGGTCTCAGTTATCTGATGAAAGTTAATCATCGCTTGCGGCTGGGATTGGCATCGTCCCCGACTCCTCCTGATGTCGAGGGTAAATGGGCGAGGTTTAGGACTGACTCATGCAGCTGCAATGGCTGCTTTGGGTACGCGGTCCAGACCTCCCCAGAGACCCTGGCTGATAGAGGAGGTGTTAAGGATGGTTGAGAAAAAGCGAAAGGCCCACTGTCATCGGCTACAGAATCCCACGTCAGAGAATGAGGAGGCTTACCGCAGCCTTCGCTCAGAGGTTCGGAGAGCCGTGAGGCGCTGCAAGGATGGGTGGTGGTCGCGGGTTGCTGAGGAGATGGAGTCTGCCTCAGTGGCCCGTGATCACAAATCTCTATTTAACTCCATCAAAAAAGTAACCTGCAGCGCCACACCTATTACCATCATTAGGGGAAAAAACGGTGATCCAATCTCCCACCCCCAGGAACAGGTTTGCAGATTTGCTGAGCATTTCTGTGAGGTCCTGGGGGAGGGAAAATCCCTCAGCCAGGAAAACATCGTGGCACAAAGTGAGGATGACCCTGCTGAGGCTGCGGTGCCTCAAATATTGGAAGAAGTCACCCCCTGTGAGTGGCTTGCTGAGGTGCCATCTGTGGAGGAAGTACTGAAGGCGATCCGGAGTCTGAGTCCAGGAAAGGCAGCGGGCAGAGATGATCTCCCAAGCGAAATGCTGAGGGAGGGTGGCGTTTCTGCACAGACTGCCCTATATGAAATAATAACAACAGTCTGGACCACTGGACGGGTTCTGCAGGATTGGAAGGGGGACCGCACAGACTGTAACAACTGCAGGGGCATCTACCTCCTCAGTGTGCCGGGAAAGGTCCTGGCAAGGATTATTCAAGATCGCCTTGCCAGGCACGCTGAGGAGAGGCTTGCGGAGCCCTAATGCGGTTTCAGGAAAGGGCGGTCCTGTGGCTGGAGGGTCAAAGTTTTGAGGACTTCTGTTAACTCTTCAAGTCCTGGAATGTGCATGTTTGTGTCTCTGTTAGATCAATCGATAAGGTACACATTATTACTTCTGTGATTTCCAGTACTCCAAGCTAGAGCGATGTTGTGAATGCTCTATGATGTGTTGGGATAAAAAGGAATTCCTTTTAAGCTCCAGAAGTGTTCACTTATTTCAGGATGACAACAATTTTATACTTCCATAGATGCGTTGCTTCGTCTGGTGGTTGTATCATCGGGACTGTTAAATGTGTGGTGTTTATGGTAGAAGGTGCCACGTGTTGTCATCTTCTTACAGCTACTTGAGTGTTGTAGTTTATTCTAGACTTCGTCACGTTAAGGTGGTGCTTTGTAGTCATATCGGATTACTTGTTGATGTGGTGTGATGCACAGTGGTTGCGAGGTGGTCCAATTCCTGATTTTACTGTCGTGACTAAGTGGCCTTGTTGAGCTAAAGTTTGAGAAAGGCTGCGATATTTTTTACAATTTCTTTAATTTTCTTTATAGTTTGATTAAAAAAAAACTATTTCAAAGTGTCGGTTTCAGAATTTGCGTTCGTTGTTCCTGTGTTTGATTACTTGGACTTGTGGACGAATGGCTTCAGTCGATAAGTACGTCAATTGGGAAGGATTAAGACGTTCACGTGTTTGATTTTGAGAATATTTTATGACTGTTGAATTAATGAAAGTTAAATTATTTTCATAGTTCCTTAACTGTTTGAAAAAGCGAATTAATAAAGATTATTAAAGACCTGATTTGTGTTCTTAAAGATGACTGATCGTACATTATTGCTACCATTTCCTTCCTTAAAAAGAATATGGACAAGTAGCCATGCACACACGAGTGTGTATCCTAACACGACTGTATATATATATACAGCGGTGTGCATTCACGCACGAGTGTGCATATACAGGGGTGTACAAACATACTTTGAGATGACTACTCAAAGTTTATGACGGAAATTATAACATAACATCCTCGTTTTCTAGAAACACCTCGCTCAACACGAGTGCCCTTCAATATATTTATGAAACAAAGTCAGTACACTGTAAATTTGCACCTCGTTGTCCAAATCAAACTGGACAACAGCATTTTGATTCTTTAGACTATATGTCGTTGTTTAATCCTTTAAACTTGCAGCAGTGTAGAGGACATTGCGGGGTGAATATTAGCAAATCAACAGGAAGCACGGAATTATGCATGGAGATGTACATTTTATTCAAACGGAAGCGTACAATTATGCAGTGGGATGTACATACTTATTAAGGTTTAATTACAATGGCCAGATTAGCTAAGCTATGTTGATTGATATGCCGATTGTAAATGTTACAAATCTACAATTGAATGCAAAGTCCATGATAGGCCAAATCGAGAACAAAGGATTTGGATGCTAGAGGGGAGTTATAAGGGGCTTAAAATCAGACCTCAAGACCATTTGGAGAGGAATTTTCCTGAGGATAGACGCTCGACTCGTCGCTCTGCAGATTTCCCTTCTCCTGCGAGACTCAGCCTGGCGAGCACGATTGCTTGACGACTGGTTGGCGACTTTGCTTCGGGAGAGTTCGTGGCGATCTCTTTAGACGGGTTACAGGGTCATCGATACACCGTGCATCAACAAGTAAGTGTCTTTGTTAGTGGATAGCCAGGTAATCGCGTGTGTAGTCCGACTTACGAGACGTTACTTTGTCTCGGCTGGACGTTCGTCAGAGTTTGCTTTTTGGCGATTTGAGCCACACATCCACGCATCATAGAGGGCGCCGTTAACTCTCAACAACACCCGCGACTGTTACTCTGCTCTGTAGAATCAGTCACACGGAGCAGATGAACTCTCCACAGTGCCACGCACACACGGGCGAGAAGCCATTCCATTGTTCTGTGTGTGGGAAGGCATTTGCACCGAAATCACATCTTCAGAGTCACCAGAAAACACACACGGGCGAGAAGCCATTCAGGTGCTCTGTGTGTGGGAAGGCATTTGCATGGAAATCAAATCTTCACAGTCACCAGAAAACTCACACGGGATGCCTGGATGTAGTGGAGGTAATGAGTCCTGGCAACAATTACTCTTTCGACCTCATGCAGGTGGATGCTGAGAAATCGCTGCTGGAGTGGCTGGAGGGTCAAAGTTTTGAGGACTTCTGTTAACTCTTGAAGTCCTGGAATGTGCACGTTTGTGTCTCTGTTAGATCAATCGATAAGGTACACATTATTACTTCCGTGATTTCCAGTACTCCAAGCCATTCAATTGTTCTCCGTTGGAGAGGACACGGTCATCACCCCGAAACAAACATGCGAAGATCCGCAATGAGAGGGAAGTGAAATCAAAAGGTGAAATGCAAAGTGCTGCAGTGAGTCCTGAACAAAATGAATCTTTCGACCCTATTCAGGTGGATCCTGAGAGATGCCTGGATGTAGTGGATGTAATGACTCCTGGCAACAATTCCTCTTTCGACCTCATGCAGTTGGATCCTGAGAGATTGCTGGATGTAATGAGCCCTGGCCACAATTCCTCTTTCGACCCCATGCAGGTGGATACTGAGAAATGGCTGCTGGAGTGGCTGGAAGATCAAAGTTTTGAGGACTTCTGTTAACTCTCGAAGTCCTGGAATGTGCATGTTTGTGTCTCTGTTAGATCAATCGATAAGGTACACATTATTACTTCCGTGATTTCCAGTACTCCAAGCTAGAGCGATGTTGTGAATGCTCTATGATGTGTTGGGATTAAAAGGAATTCCTTTTAAGCTTCAGAAGTGTTCACTTATTTCAGGATGACAACAATTTTATACTTCTATAGATGCGTTGCTTCGTCTGGTGGTTGTATCATCGGGACTGTTAAATGTGTGGTGTTTATGGTAGAAGGTGCCACGTGTTGTCATCTTCTCACAGCTACTTGAGTGTTGTAGTTTATTCTAGACTTCGTCACGTTAAGGTGGTGCTTTGTAGTCATATCGGATTTCTTGTTGATGTTGTGTGATGCACAGTGGTTGTGAGGTGGTCCAATTCCTGATTTTACTCTCGTGACTAAGTGGCCTTGTCGGGCTAAAGTTGGAGAAATACTGTGATCATAACGTTGCCCTATATTTTAAACATTTTTCTTTAATTTTCTTTATTGTTTGATAAAAAAAAACTACTTCAAAGTGTCGGTTTCAGAATGTGCGTTCGTTGTTCCTGTGTTTGATGGCTTGGACTTGTGGACGAAAGACTTCAGTCGATAAGGACGTCAATTGGGAAGGATTAAGACGTTCACGTGTTTGATTTTGAGAATATTTTATGACTGTTGAATTATTGAAAGTGAAATAATTTTCCTGGTTCCTTAACTTGTTTGAAAAAGCGAATTAATAAAGATTTTGACGCGAGTTTTAACGTTGATATTGTTGCAGATTAATAAAGTCCTGATTTGTATTTAAAGATGACTGATCGTACATTATTGTTACCATATCCTTCCTTAAAAAGAACATGGACAAGTAGCCATGCAGTGTGCATCCCAACACGATTGTTTATATATACAGCGGTGTGCATTCACACACGAGTGTGCATATACAGGGGTGTACATACAGACATACAACGCAGTGTACATACACAGCAGTGTACGAACACAAGGATTGCGTTCCACTGCGAACACGCACGATTGTACCTGCATACACATACACACACATACGTATACGGGTTTTCATTCTCAGAAGAAGAGCCACTCCATGTTGTTTGGCATTCCCCTGCCACGAATAAACTTCTGTGTTAACAACCTTCAACTTCATCGGCGTTCCCGGTCGGTAACGCTGTGGTGGATAAGAGCAATGTCCTTGAGGGAAGTCTCGTAGCCACCACAGCGGCCCACGAGGTCTCTGGACCGGTGCGAGGTGCTGGTAACACCTCCATATTCAATGCAGTTACCGTAACAAAAACACGTCCAAAATATAAAACACGTGCATAAATATTGAACACACACAAGAGTATACATACACACTGAAGACTAAATATGTATGATTGACTTTTTTCGGTACCTTATGTTAAACCACGCTTACAAGCTAAACCATTCAGATGATTACTCAAAGTTTATGACTTAAATTATAACATATCAACCTCGTTTTCTAGAAACACCCCGCTCAACACGAGTGTCCTTAAATATATTTATCAAACAAAGTCAGTACAGTGTAAATTTGCACCTCTTAGTCAATATAAAACTCTTTATGTTGATAATTCAGACTGTGATTCGCTTTTAAATCCTGAAAATCTTGCATCAGTGTAGAGGACATTGCGGGGTGAATATTAGGAAATTAACAGGAAGCACAGAATTATCCATGGAGATGTACATCTTTATTCAAACGGAAGCGTACAATTATGCAGTGGGATGTACATACTTATTAAGGTTTAAGTACAATGGGCCAGATTAGCTAAGCTACGTTTATTGATATGCGGATTGTTAATGTGAAAATTAACAATTGAATGCAAAGTCCATGATAGGCCAAATCGAGAAGAAAGGATTTGGATGCTAGAGGGGAGTTAGAAGGGGCTTAAAATCAGACATCAAGATCATTTCGAGAGGGATTTTACTGAGGATAGACGCTCGACTCCTCGCTCTGCAGATTTCCCTTCTCCTGCGAGACTCAGCCTGGCGAGCACGATTGCTTGGCGACTGGTTGGCGACTTTGCTTCGGGAGAGTTCGTGGCGATCTCTTCAGACGGGTTACAGGGTCATCGATGCACCGTGCATCAACAAGTAAGTGTCTTTGTTAGTGGATAGCCAGGTAATCGCGTGTGTAGTCCGACTTACGAGACGATACTGTGTCTCGGTTGGACGTTCGTGAGAGTTTGCTTTTTGGCGATTTGAGCCATACATCCACGCAGCATAGAGGGTGCCTTTAACTCTCAACAACACCCGCGACTGTTACTCTGCTCTGTAGAATCAGTCACATGGAACAGATGAACTCTCCACAGTGCCAAGCCCACACGGGCGAGAAGCCGTTCAATTGTTGTGTGTGTGTGAAGGCATTTTCACGGAAATCAACTCTTAGCAGACACCAGAAAACACACACGGGCGAGAAGCCATTCAATTGCTCTGTGTGTGGGGAGGCATTTTCACGGAAATCAACTCTTAGCAGACACCAGAAAACGCACACGGGCGAGAAGCCATTCAATTGCTCTGTGTGTGGGAAGGAATTTTCACAGAAATCACATCTTCAGAGTCACCAGAAAACTCACACAGGCGAGAAGCCATTCAAGTGCTCTGTTTGTGGGAAGGCATTTGCGGATAAATCAGCTCTTAACAAACACCAGAAAACACAAACGGGCGAGAAGCCGTTCAATTGCTCTGTGTGTGGGAAGGCATTAGCACAGAATTCACATCTTCAGAGTCACCAGAAAACACACACGGACGAGAAGCCATTCACTCTGCGTGTGGGAAGGCATTTGCATAGAAATCAAATCTTCACAGTCACCAGAAAACTCACACGGGATGCCTGGATGTAGTGGAGGTAATGAGTCCTGGCAACAATTACTCTTTCGACCTCATGCAGGTGGATGCTGAGAAATCGCTGCTGGAGTGGCTGGAGGGTCAAAGTTTTGAGGACTTCTGTTAACTCTTGAAGTCCTGGAATGTGCATGTTTGTGTCTCTGTTAGATCAATCGATAAGGTACACATTATTACTTCCGTGATTTCCAGTAGTCCAAGCTAGAGCGATGTTGTGAATTCTCTATGATGTGTTGGGATAAAAAAGGAATTACTTTTAAGCTCCAGAAGTGTTCACTTATTTCAGGATGACAACAATTTTATACTTCCATAGATGCGTTGCTTCGTCTGGTGGTTGTATCATCGGGACTGTTAAATGTGTGGTGTTTATGGTAGAAGGTGCCACGTGTTGTCATCTTCTCACAGCTACTTGAGAGTTGTAGTTTATTCTAGACTTCGTCACGTTAAGGTGGTGCTTTGTAGTCAAATCGGATTACTTGTTGATGTGGTGTGATGCACAGTGGTTGTGAGGTGGTCCAATTCCTGATTTTACTGTCGTGACTAAGTGGCCTTGTTGAGCTAAAGTTGGAGAAAGACTGTGATCATAACGTTGCCCTATATTTTAAACATTTTTCTTTAATTTTCTTTATTGTTCGACTAGAACCAGTCCTGGGCTAGGCCTCGACTAGAAACAGGCTAGAGCAAGGTCTCGACTAGAACCAGGCCTGGGCTAGGCCTCGACTAGCACCAGGTCTGGGCAATGCCTCAACTGGAACCAGGCCTGGTCAAGGCCTCGTCTAGAACCAGGCCTGGACTAGGCCTCGACTAGTACCAAGCCTGGGCAAGGCCTCGACTAGAACCAGGCCTGGGCAATTCTTTGACTAGAACCAGGCCTGGTGAAGGCCTCGACTAGAACCAGGCCTGGGCAAGGCCTCGACTAGAGCCAGGCCTGGGCAAGGCCTCGACTAGATCCAGGCCTGGACTCGGCCTCACCTAGAACCAGGTCAGGGCAAGGCCTGACTAGTTCCAGGCCTCTCGTTTCCTAGGCTGAGCCTGAACTAGGCTGCACATATCCTAAGTTGAGCCTGAATCAGGCCTCGACTAGAACCAGCCCTGGGCTAGGCCTCGACTAGAAACAGGCTAGAGCAAGGTCTCGACTAGAACCAGGCCTTGGCTAGGCCTCGACTAGAACCAGGCCTAGGAAATGCCTCAACTGGAACCTGTCCTGGCCAAGGCCTCGTCTAGAACCAGGCCTGGACTAGGCCTCGACTAGTTCCAAGCCTGGGCAAGGCCTCGACTAGAACCAGGCCTGGGCAATTCTTTGACTACAACCAGGCCTGGTCAAGGCCTCGACTAGAACCAGGCCTGGGCAAGGCCTCGACTAGATCCAGGCCTGGACTAGGCCTCACCTAGAACCAGGTCAAGGCAAGGCCTGACTATATCCAGGCCTCTCGTATCCTAGGCTGAGCCTGAATTAGGCTGCACATATCCTAAGTTGAGCCTGAATCAGGCCTCGACTAGAACCAGGCCTCGGCAATGCCTCGACTAGAACCAGGCCTCGGCAAGGCCTCGACTAGAACTAGGCCTGGGCAATGCTTTGCCTAGAACCAGGGCTGGGCAAGGCCTCGACTAGATCCAGGCCTGGGCTAGGCCTCGACTAGAACCAGGCCTAGGCTAGGCCTCGACTAGAACCAGGCCTCGACTAGATCCAGGCCTGGGCAAGGCCTCATCTAGAACCAGGCCTGGGAAATGCCTGACTAGATCCAGGCCTCTCGTATCCTAGGCTGAGCCTGAACTAGGCCGCACATATCCTAAGTTGAGCCTGAATGAGGCCTCGATTATGCTGGGTGAGTGAGTGGGTGGGTGGTGAGTGGGTGAATGGGTGAGTGAGTGGCTTGGTGAGTGGGTTAGGTGAGTGAGTGGGTGGGTGGTGAGTGGGTGAATGGGTGAGAGAGTGGGTGAATGGGTGGGTGAGTGAGTGGGTGAGTGGTGAGTGAGTGGATTGGTGAGTGGGTTGTTGAGTGGGTGGGTGAATGAATGGGTGAGTGAGTGGGTTAGTGGCTGGGCTGGTGGCTTAGTGGGTGAGTGAGTGGGTGGGTTTGTGGGTAAGTGAGTGAGTGAGTCGATGAGTGAGTGGGTGGGGTATTGGGTGAGTGAGGTGCTTCTGCTACTCGCTACTAACAGCACTTGCCCCAACAGTCTGCGAAAGGCTACAGGTGGGAGCTTTGGGTGAATCTGTGAGTGAGTCTGGGTGAGTCTGTGAGTGAGTCAGTGGGTGAGTCTGTGAGTCTGTGGGTGAGTCTGTGAGTGAGTCTGTGGCTGAGTTAAGTGAGTCTGAGTGAGTCTGGGTGAGTCTGTGAGTGATTCTTTGGGTAATGTTCAGATGTAAATACACAAATAAAGCATTTGCATTCAGTTTACAAGTGTCTGGTTGGTTTTGTGTGAGGGTGGGTGGGTGAGTGAGTGAGTGGGTAGGTGCGTGGGTGGGTGGGTGAGTGAGTGAGTGGGTAGGTGCGTTGGTGGGTGGGTGAGTGAGTGGGTAGGTGCGTGGGTGGGTGGGTGGGTGAGTGAGTGGGTGAGTGGGTGGGTGAGTGAGTGGGTGAGTGAGTGAGTGGGTGGTTGAGTGGGTGAGTGAGTTTGTGAGTGGGTGAGTGACTGGGTGAGTGGGTGGGTGATTGAGTGGGTGGGTGGGTGAGTGAGTGGGTGAGTGAGTGGGTGAGTGAGGTGAGTGAGTGGGTGAGTGAGTGATTTGGTGAGTGCGTGGGTGGGTGCGTGGGTGGGTGAGTGAGTTGGTGAGTTAGTGAGTGGGTGGATGAGTGAGTGAATGAGTGGCGAGTGTGTGAGATGAGTGGGTGCGTGGGAGGGTGAGTGAGTGATAAGTGGGTGAGTGGGTGAATGAGTGAGTGGGTGATGAGTGATTGTGAGTGGTGAGTGTGTGAGTGTGTGTGATTGAGTATGTGAGTAACTCCAAACATCTCCATTGCTTCAATTATTTAATTCAAACAATGGCAAACTTCATCAGCAACATCATAACCTTGGTAACATCAGAAAATATTAATACCACCATCATCACCATCACCGTGATCACAGCTCTTTCCATGTGACAGCTTTTCATTACCTCCTCGCGGTGCCGGACGGGCAACTCTGTCGTGGACAGTGCTGTGGGGTGAGGTCCAATTTTGATTGGCTCCTCCCCTCATGGCATCTGTGACCACCACAGTGGCTAAACGGGGGCTCTGGATGGGTGCGAGGGGCTGGTAACCCCTCCACCTTCAATAAATTACCACTAAACCGCGAATTAAGTATATAACTAATAAGCTTGTGCCGGAGGCCCCGGGGGGACAGGCGTCTATGACGTCTCCTGGCCAAACCCCAATTGGTGGAGCCAGGAGATTGAATCTCTACCCTCGGGGCTCCTCCAGAAACAACGAAAAACCACTACGGGTGGCCACGTGGAATGTTCGAACGCTCACTGCGGAGGAGAGCCTGCCACTCCTCTGTTGGGAGCTGGACCGGTGCCGCCTGGATCTCTGTGGCATTCAGGAGGTCCGGTGGACCGGTTCTGGTTCCTGCCACCATGAGGGGTGGACAGTCCTCTACTCGGGGCAGCAGAACCAGGCCTGGTCAAGGCCTCGACTAGAACCAGGCCTGGACTAGGCCTCGACTAGAACCAGGCCTGGACTAGGCCTCGACTAGATCCAGGCTTGGCTAGGCCTCGACTAGAACCAGGCCTGGGCTATGCCTCCACTACGACCAAGCCTGGGCTAGGCCTCCTCTAGAACGAACCCTGGTCTAGGCCTCAACTAGAACCAAGCCCTAGGCTAGGCCTCCTTATAGATCCAAGCCTGGGCTGGGCCTCCATTAGAACCAAGCCTGGGCTAGGCCTCGACTAGAATGAACGCTGGGCTAGGTCTCCAATAGAACCAAGATTGGGCTAGGCCTCGACTAGAATGAACCCTGGGCTAGGCCTCCACTACAACCAGCCTGGGTTAGGCCTCGAATAGAACTAGGCCTGGGCTAGGCCTCCACTAGAACCAGGCCTGCACAAGGCCTCTTCAAGAACCAGGCTTGGGCAAGGCCTCAGTTACAACCAGGCCTGGGAAAGGCATCGAATAGAACCAGGCCTGGGCTAGGCCTCGACTATAAGTAGGCCTGGGCAAGACCTTGTCGAGAACCAGGCCCGGGCAAGGCCTCGACTTGAACCAGTCCTGGGCTAGGCCTCGACTAGAAACAGGCTAGAGCAAGGTCTCGACTAGAACCAGGCCTGGGCTAGGCCTCGACTAGAACCAGGCCTGGGCAATGCCTCAACTGGAACCAGGCCTGGTCAAGGCCTCGTCTAGAACCAGGCCTGGACTAGTCCTCGACTAGTGCCAAGCCTGGGCAAGGCCTCGACTAGAACCAGGCCTGGGCAATTCTTTGACTAGAACCAGGCCTGGTCAAGGCCTCGACTAGAACCAGGCCTGGACAAGGCCTCGACTAGAGCCAGGCCTGGGCAAGGCCTCGACTAGATCCAGGCCTGGACTAGGCCTCACCTAGATCCAGGTCAGGGCAAGGCCTGACTAGCTCCAGGCCTCTCGTATCCTAGGCTGAGCCTGAACTAGGCTGCACATATCCTAAGTTGAGCCTGAATCAGGCCTCGACTACAACCAGGTCTCGGCAATGCCTCGACTAGAACCAGTCCTGGGCTAGGCCTCGACTAGAAACAGGCTAGAGCAAGTCTCGACTAGAACCAGGCCTGGGCTAGGCCTCGACTAGAACCAGGTCTGGGCAATGCCTCAACTGGAGCCTGGCCTGGTCAAGGCCTCGTCTAGAAACAGGCCTGGACTAGGCCTAGACTAGTACCAAGCCTGGGCAAGGCCTCGACTAGAACCAGGCCTGGGCAATTCTTTGACTAGAACCAGGCCTGGTCAAGGCCTCGTCTAGAACCAGGCCTGGACTAGTCCTCGACTAGTGCCAAGCCTGGGCAAGGCCTCGACTAGAACCAGGCCTGGGCAATTCTTTGACTAGAACCAGGCCTGGTCAAGGCCTCGACTAGAACCAGGCCTGGACAAGGCCTCGACTAGAGCCAGGCCTGGGCAAGGCCTCGACTAGATCCAGGCCTGGACTAGGCCTCACCTAGAACCAGGTCAGGGCAAGGCCTGACTAGCTCCAGGCCTCTCGTATCCTAGGCTGAGCCTGAACTAGGCTGCACATATCCTAAGTTGAGCCTGAATCAGGCCTCGACTACAACCAGGTCTCGGCAATGCCTCGACTAGAACCAGTCCTGGGCTAGGCCTCGACTAGAAACAGGCTAGAGCAAGTCTCGACTAGAACCAGGCCTGGGCTAGGCCTCGACTAGAACCAGGTCTGGGCAATGCCTCAACTGGAGCCTGGCCTGGTCAAGGCCTCGTCTAGAAACAGGCCTGGACTAGGCCTAGACTAGTACCAAGCCTGGGCAAGGCCTCGACTAGAACCAGGCCTGGGCAATTCTTTGACTAGAACCAGGCCTGGTCAAGGCCTCGACTAGAACCAGGCCTGGGCAAGGCCTCGACTAGAACCAGGCCTGGGCAAGGCCTCGACTAGATCCAGGCCTGGGCTAGGCCTCACCTAGAACCAGGTCAGGGCAAGGCCTGACTAGATCCAGGCCTCTCGTATCCTAGGCTGAGCCTGAACTAGGCTGCACATATCCTAAGTTGAGCCTGAATCAGGCCTCGACTACAACCAGGTCTCGGCAATGCCTCGACTAGAACCAGTCCTGGGCTAGGCCTCGACTAGAAACAGGCTAGAGCAAGTCTCGACTAGAACCAGACCTGGGCAAGGCCTCGACTAGAACCAGGCCTGGGCAATGCTTTGACTAGAACCAGGCCTGGGCAATGCTTTGACTAGAACCAGGCCTGGGCTAGGCGTCGACTAGAAACAGACCTGGGCTAGGCCTCGACTAGATCCAGGCCTGGGCTAGGCCTCGCCTAGAACCAGGCCTGGGCTAGGCCTCGCCTAGAACCAGGCCTGGGCAAGGCCTCATCTAGAACCAGGCCTGGGAAATGCCTGACTAGATCCAGGCCTCTCGTATCCTAGGCTAAGCCTGAACTAGGCCGCACATATCCTAAGTTGAGCCTGAATGAGGCCTCGATTATGCTGGGTGAGTGAGTGGGTGAGTGAGTGGGTTGGTGAGTGGGTGGGTGAGTGAGTGGGTGGGTGGTGAGTGGGTGAATGGGTGAGAGAGTGGGTGAATGGGTGGGTGAGTGAGTGGGTGAGTGGTGAGTGAGTGGATTGGTGAGTGGGTTGTTGAGTGGGTGGGTGAATGAATGGGTGAGTGAGTGGGTTAGTGGCTGGGCTGGTGGCTTAGTGGGTGAGTGGGTGGGTGGGTAAGTGAGTGAGTGAGTCGATGAGTGAGTGGGTGGGGTATTGGGTGAGTGAGGTGCTGCTGCTACTCGCTACTAACAGCACTTGCCCCAACAGTCTGCGAAAGGCTACAGGTGGGAGCTTTGGGTGAGTCTGTGAGTGAGTCTGTGGGTGAGTCTGTGAGTGACTCTGTGGGTGAGTCTGTGAGTGAGTCTGTGGCTGAGTTAAGTGAGTCTGAGTGAGTCTGAGTGATTCTTTGGGTAATGTTCAGATGTAAATACACAAATAATACACAAGAGTATAATACACACTGAAGACTAAATATGGATGATTGACTTTTTTGCGGTACGTTATGTTAAACCACGCTTACAAGCTAAACCATTCAGATGATTACTCAAAGTTTATGACGGAAAATAGAACATATCAACCTCGTTTTCTAGAAACACCCCGCTCAACACGAGTGTCCTTAAATATATTTATGAAACAATTCAGCACGGTGTAAACTTGCACATCTTAGTCCAAATCAAACTCGACATTTTTTTTTGATAATTCAGACTGTGAGTCGCTATTAAATCCTGAAAAACTTGCTGCAGTGTAGAGGACATTGCGGGGTGAATATTAGCAAATCAACAGGAAGCACAGAATTATGCATGGAGATGTACATCTTTATTCAAACGGAAGCTTGCAATTATGCAGTGGGATGTACATACATATTAAGGTTGAATTTAAATGGCCAGATTAGCTAAGCTATGTTGATTGATATGCCGATTGTAAATGTTACAAATTAACAATTGAAGGCAAAGTCCATGATAGGCCAAGTCGATAACAAAGGATTTGGATGCTAGAGGGGAGTTATAAGGGGCTTAAAATCAGACCTCAAGATCATTTGGAGAGAGATTTTACTGAGGATAAACGCTCGACTCATCGCTCTGCAGATTACCCTTCTCCTGCGAGACTCAGCCTGGCGAGCACGATTGCTTGGCGACTGGTTGGCGACTTTGCTTCGGGAGAGTTCGTGGCGATCTCTTTAGACGGGTGACAGGGTCATCGATACACCGTGCATCAACAAGTAAGTGTCTTTGTTAGTGGATAACCTGGTAATCGCGCGTGTAGTCCGTCTTACGGGGCGTTACTGTGTCTCGGTTGGACGTTCGTGAGAGTTTGCTTTGTGGCGATTTGAGCCACACATCCACGCAGCATAGAAGGCGCCGTTAACTCTCAACAACACCCGCGACTGTTACTCTGCTCTGAAGAATCAGTCACATGGAGCAGATGAACTCTCCACAGTGCCAAGCCCACACGAGCGAGAAGCCATTCCATTGTTCTGTGTGTGTGAAGGCATTTTCACGGAAATCAACTCTTAGCAGACACCAGAAAACACACACGGGCGAGAAGCCATTCAATTGCTCTGTGTGTGGGAAGGCATTTGCACAGAAATCACATCTTCAGAGTCACCAGAAAACACACACTGGCGAGAAGCCATTCAATTGCTCTGTGTGTGGGAAGGCATTTGCACAGAAATCAAATCTTAACACTCACAAGAAAACACACACGGGCGAGAAGTCATTCAATTGTTTTCCGTTGGAAAGGACACGGTCATCACCCCGAAACAAACATGCGAAGATCTGCAATGAGAGTGAAGTGAAATCAAAAGGTGAAATGCAAAGTGCTGCAGTGAGTCCTGAACAAAATGCATCTGTCGACCCTATTCAGGTGAATCCTGAGAGATGCCTGGATGTAGTGGATGTAATGACTCCTGGCAACAATTCCTCTTTCGACTTCATGCAGGTGGATCCTGAGAGATTGCTGGATGTAATGAGCCCTGACCACAATTCCTCTTTCGACCCCATGCAGGTGGATACTGAGAAATGGCTGCTGGAGTGGCTGGAGGGTCAAAGTATTGAGAACTTCTGTTAACTCTTGAAGTCCTGGAATGTGCATGTTTGTGTCTCTGTAGATCAATCGATAAGGTACACATTATTACTTCCGTGATTTCCAGTACTCCAAGCTAGAGTGATGTTGTGAATGCTCTATGATGTGTTCAGAAAAAAGTATTCCTATTAAGTTCCAGAAGTGTTCACTTATTTCAGGATGACAACAATTTTATACTTCCATAGATGCGTTGCTTCGTCTGGTGGTTGTATCATCGGGACTGTTAAATGTGTGGTGTTTATGGTAGAAGGTGCCACGTGTTGTCATCTTCTCACAGCTACTTGAGTGTTGTAGTTTATTCTAGACTTCGTCACGTTAAGGTGGTGCTTTGTAGTCATATCGGATTACTTGTTGATGTGGTGTGATGCGCAGTGGTTGTGAGGTGGTCCAATTTCTGATTTTACTGTCGTGACTAAGTGGCCTTGTTGAGCTAAAGTTGAAGAAAGACTGTGATCATAACGTTGCCCTATATTTTAAACATTTTTCCTCAATTTTCTTTATTGTTTAATGAAAAAAAATAACTTCAAATGATAGCTTTCAGAGTGCGCGTGGATTGCTCGTTCGTTGTTCCTGTGTTTGATGGCTTGGACTTGTGGACGAATGGCTTCAGTCGATAAGGACGTCAATGGGGAAATCGACATTTACGTGTTTGATTTTGAGAATATGTTTTAACTGTTTGAATTCCTATTGGGGAAATAATTGGCCAAGTTCCGTCTTAATAAAGATGTCGATGCGAGAATTAACGTGAATTTCCTTGCAGATTAATAAAAAACCTGAATTGTTTTTAAAGATAACTGATAGTACAGACGAGTAGCCATACACACACGTGTGCATTCAAATACGACTGTCTATTTACAGCTGTGCGCATACACACACGAGTGTACGTACACAGCAGTACAGATCCACGTACATACAAACAGTAGCAGACTTTGATAGCGGGGTTTTGTGATTATTTTAACAGATTGAACCGACGATCTGAATCTTAGATGCCCCTCAGAACTGAAGAACGTTAAGCGAATGCCAGAAACGCGTGACATTCTAATCCATTCTCTCTATTCCAATACACACGCTTGGAATCATTAATAATGTTTTAAATAGTGGCCCCATGTTTAATGAGTGTTAGTGAAGTCATTAGTTTTCTTTATTTAATTCCATTTGTTCGCCTTTGCTTCGGCAAACCGGTTGAGATTATTCTTCCCGTTTAAGTAATCTCTCTAGAATCATTTGTAATTTTCTTGATTAACTTCCTTGCATTCAATTGTTATCCTCGTAGGTGACGCTCCTCATAATCTATCAACATACCTAAGCTCATGTGGCCATCGTGCTTAAGCCTAAGTAGGAATGTTCATTTCACTGCATCATTGTTCACTTTCGTTCGAATATGGATGGGCATCTTCTTGAATAATTATGTTGTTATTTTGCACATTTACAATGGCCTGTAAACTGCTATCGATTTATCCGCCTTAACTGTGAAATACAGTATGAAATATTGCAATGTTGATGGAGATATACTTAGACTAAGAGGTGCATGCTTCATAGCGGGCTGACGTGGTTTTATTAATGTGTTTAAGGACTCTTGTTGATCAAGGTGTGTCTAGACAACGAAGATGAATTGTTATATTCCATCAATTAAAATGGTTACAATTGCTGGTTGTTTTTTTAACCCATCTGGATGGAATAGTTTGTAAGCGTTGTTTATTATTTTTGTAACGCAGCCATTATCACATTTCAGTCTAGGGGCTGGTAACCCCTCAATATTCAACGCAATTACCGTAAAAAACACGTTTAAAATATTAAACATGTGCAAAATATTGAACAAATACACACTGGTGTATACACACACACCGAAGGTCGTATGTTACAGACTAAATGGTGAAGATTGATTATTATTGAGTAACGTTATTATAAACCACGCTTATAGGCTAAACCATTCAGATGATTATTCAAAGTTTATGACAGAAATCATAACATAACACACTCGTTTGCTAGAAGCACCCTGCTCAACACGAGTGTCCTTAAATATGTTTATGAAACAAAGTCAGTCCACTGTAAATTTGCACCTCTTAGTCCAAATAAAACTCTTTATGTTGATAATTCAGACTGTGTATCGCTTTTAAATCCTGATAATCTTGCAGCAGTGTAGAGGACATTGCGGGGTGAATATTAGCAAATCAACAGGAAGCACGGAATTATGCATGGAGATGTACATCTTATTCAAACGGAAGTGTACAATTATGCAGTGGGATGTACATACTTATTAAGGGTTAATTTAAATGGCCAGATTAGCTAAGCTATGTTGATTTATATGCGGATTGTAAATGTTACAAATCTACAATTGAATGCAAAGTCCATGATAGGCCAAATCGAGAACAAAGGATTTGGATGCTAGAGGGGAGTTATAAGGGGCTTAAAATCAGACCTCAAGATCATTTGGAGAGGGAGTTTACTTAGGATAGACGCTCGACTCCTCGCTCTGCAGATTTCCCTTCTCCTGCGAGACTCAGCCTGGCGAGCACGATTGCTTGGCGACTGGTTGGCGACTTTCCTTCGGGAGAGTTCGTGGCGATCTCTTTAGACGGGTTACAGGGTCATCGATACACCGTGCATCAACAAGTAAGTGTCTTTGTTAGTGGATAGCCTGGTTAATCGTGTGTGTAGTCCGTCTTACGGGGCGTTACTGTGTCTCGGTTGGACGTTCGTGAGAGTTTGCTTTTTGGCGATTTAAGCCATGCAGCTTAGAAGGCGCCGTTAACTCTCAACAACACCCGCGACTGTTACTCTGCTCTGTAGAATCAGTCACATGGAGCAGATGAACTCTCCACAGTGCCACACACACGGGCGAGAAGCCGTTCAATTGCTCTGTGTGTGGGAAGGCATTTGCATGGAAATCAAATCTTAACACTCACAAGAAAACACACTCGGGTGAGAAGCCGTTCAAGTGCTCTGTTTGTGGGAAGGCATTTGCACGGAAAACAATTCTTAACAGACACCAGAAAACACACACGGGCGAGAAGCCGTTCAATTGCTCATTGTGTGGGAAGGCATTTGCACGGAAAACAATTCTTAACAGACACCAGAAAACACACACGGGCAAGAAGCCATTCAATTGTTCTGTTTGTGGGAAGGCATTTGCAGAGAAATCATCTCTTAACAGACACCAGAAAATACACACTGGTGAGAAGTCAGTCAAGTGCTCTGTGTGTGGGAAGGCATTTGCACAGAAATCACATCTTCACAGTCACCAGAAAACACACGGGCGAGAAGCCATTCAAGTGCTCCTTGTGTGGGAAGAAATTTTCACGGAAAACAATTCTTAACAGACACCAGAAAACACACACGGGTGAGAAGCCATTCAATTGTTCTGTGTGTGGGAAGGCATTTGAATGGAAAACAACTCTTAACAGACACCAGAAAACACACACGGGCGAGAAGCCATTCAATTGTTCTCCGTTAGAGAGGACACGGTCATCACCCCGAAACAAGCATGCGAAGATCCGCAATGAGAGTGAAGTGAAATCAAAAGGTGAAATGCAAAGTGCTGCAGTGAGTCCTGAACAAAATGAATCTGTCGACCCTATACAGGTGAATCCTGAGAGATGCCTGGATGTAGTGGATGTAATGACTCCTGGCAACAATTCCACTTTCGACCTCATGCAGTTAGATCCTGAGAGACTGCTGGATGTAATGAGCCCTGACCACAATTCCTCTTTCGACCCCATGCAGGTGGACACTGAGAAATGGCTGCTGGAGTGGCTGGAGCGTCAAAGTTTTGAGTACTTCTGTTAACTCTTGAAGTCCTGGAATGTGCATGATTGTGTCTCTGTTAGATCAATCAATAAGGTACACATTATTACTTCCGTGATTTCCAGTACTCCAAGCTCGAGGGATGTTGTGAATGCTCTATGATGTGTTGGGATAAAAAGGAATTCCTTTTAAGCTTCAGAAGCGTTCACGTATTTCAGGATGACAACAATTTTATACTTCCATAGATGCGTTGCTTCGTCTGGTGGTTGTATCATCGGGACTGTTAAATGTGTGGTGTTTATGGTAGAAGGTGCCACGTGTTGTCATCTTCTCACAGCTACTTGAGTGTTGAAGTTCCTTCTAGACTTCGTCACGTTAAGGTGGTGCTTTGTAGTCATATCGGATTACTTGTTGATGTTGTGTGATGCACAGTGGTTGTGAGGTGGTCCAATTCCTGATTTTACTCTCGTGACTAAGTGGCCTTGTTGAGCCAAAGTTGTAGAAAGACTGTGATCATAACGTTGCCATATATCTTAAACATTTTTCTTTAATTTTCTTTATTGTTTAATTTAAAAAAAACTACTTCAAAGTGTCGGTTTCAGAATGTGCGTTCGTTGTTCCTGTGTTTGATGGCTTGGACTTGTCGATGAATGGCTTCAGTCGATAAGGACGTCAATTTGGAAGGATTAAGACGTTCACGTGTTTGATTTTTTGAATATTTTATAACTGTTGAATTAATGAAAGTGAAATTATTTTTGGTTCCTTAACTCTTTGAAAAAGCGAATTAATAAAAATTTTGATGGGAGTTTTAACGTTGATATTGTTACAGATTAATAAAACCTGATTTGTGTTTTTAAAGATGACTGATCGTACATTATTGTTACCATTTCCTTCCTTAAAAAGAACATTTACGAGTAGACATTCACACACGAGTGTGCATCCTAACACGACTGTACATATATACAGCGGTGTGCATTCACACACGAGTGTGCATATACAGGGGTGTACATACATACAGACATACAACGCAGTGTACATGCACAGCAGTGTACGAACACAAGGATTGCGTTCCACTGCGAACACGCACGATTGTACCTCCATACATACACACACATACGTATACGTTATTTCATTCTCAGAAGAAGAGCCACTCCATGTTGTTTGGCATTCCCCTGCCACGAATAAAGTTCTGTATTAACAACCTTCAACTTCATCGACGTTCCCGGTCGGTAACGCTGTGGTGGATAAGAGCAATGTCCTTGAGGGAAGTCTCGTAGCCACCACAGCGGCCCACGAGGTCTCTGGACGGGTGCGAGGTGCTGGTAACACCTCCATATTCAATGCAGTTACCGTAACAAAAACACGTCCAAAATATAAAACTCGTGCAGAAATATTTAACACATACACAAGAGTATACATACACACTGAAGACTAAATATTGATGATTGACTTTTTTGCGGTACGTCATGTTAAACCACGCTTACAAAGCTAATCTATTCCGCTATTTTACTCAAAGTTTATGACTAAAATTATAACATATCAACCTCGTTTTCTAGAAACACCCCGCTCAACACGAGTGTCATTAAATATATTTATGAAACAAAGTCAGTACACTGTAAATTTGCACCTCTTAGTCCAAATAAAACTCTTTATGTTGATAATTCAGACTGTGCATCGCTTTTAAATCCTGAAAATCTTGCAGCATTGTAGAGGACATTGCGGGGTGAATATTAGCAAATTAACAGGAAGCACAGAATAATGCTTGGAGATGTACATCTTTATTCAAACGGAAGTGTACAATTATGCAGTGGGATGTACATACTTATTAAGGTTTAAGTACAATGTGCCAGATTAGCTAAGCTATGTTGATTGATATGCGGATTGTTAATGTAAAAATTAACAATTGAATGCAAAGTCCATGATAGGCCAAGTCGAGAACAAAGGATTTCGATGCTAGAGGGGAGTTATAAGAGGCTTAAAATCAGACCTCAAGATCATTTGGAGAGGAATTTTCCTGAGGATAGACGCTCGACTCATCGCTCTGCAGATTTCCCTTCTCCTGCGAGACTCAGCCTGGCGAGCACGATTGCTTGGCGACTGGTTGGCGACTTTGGTTCGGGAGAGTTCGTGGCGATATCTTTAGACGGGTTACAGGGTCATCGATACACCGTGCATCAACAAGTAAGTGTCTTTTTGAGTGGATAACCAGGTAATCGCGTGTGTAGTCCGTCTTACGAGACGTTACTGTGTCTCGGTTGGACGTTCGTGAGAGTTTGCTTTTTGGCGATTTGAGCCATGCAGCTTAGAAGGCGCCGTTAACTCTCAACAACACCCGCGACTTTTACTCTGCTCTGTAGAATCTGTCACATGGAGCAGATTAACTCTAAACCGTGCCACGCATACACGGGCGAGAACCCGTTCAATTGCTCTGTGTGTGGGAAGGCATTTGCACAGAAATCAAATCTTAACACTCACAAGAAAACACACACGGGCGAGAAGCCATTCAAGTGCTCTGTGTGTGGGAAGGCATTTGCACAGAAATCAAATCTTAACACTCACAAGAAAACACACACGGGCGAGAAGCCATTCAAGTGCTCTGTGTGTGGGAAGGCATTTGCACAGAAATCAAATCTTAACACTCGCAAGAAAATACACACGGGTGAGAAGTCATTCAAGTGCTCTGTGTGTGGGAAGGCATTTGCACAGAAATCAAATCTTAACACTCACAAGAAAATACACACGGGCGAGAAGCCATTCAAGTGCTCTGTCTGTGGGAAGGCATTTGCATAGAAATCAAATCTTAACACTCACAAGAAAACACACACGGGCGAGAAGCCATTCAAGTGCGCTGTGTGTGGGAAGGCATTTGCGGATAAATCAGCTCTTAACAAATACCAGAAAACACAAACGGGCGAGAAGCCGTTCAATTGCTCTGTGTGTGGGAAGGCATTTGCACAGGAATCACATCTTCAGAGTCACCAGAAAACACACACGGGTGATAAGCCATTCAGGTGCTATGTGTGTGGGAAGGAATTTTCACAGAAATCACATCTTCAGAGTCACCAGAAAACTCACACGGGCGAGAAGCCATTCACTTGCTCTGCATGTGGGAAGGCATTTGCATGGAAATCAAATCTTCACAGTCACCAGAAAACTCACACGGGATGCCTGGATGTAGTGGAGGTAATGAGTCCAGGCAACAATTCCTCTTTCGACCCCATGCAGGTGGATACTGAGAAATGGCTTCTGGAGTGGCTGGAGGGTCAAAGTATTGAGTACTTCTGTTAACTCTTGAAGTCCTGGAATGTGCATGTTTGTGTCTCTGTTAAATCAATCGATAAGGTACACATTATTACTTCCTTCATTTGCAGTACTCCAAGCTCGAATGATGTTGTGAATGCTCTATGAAGTGTTCGGGAAAAAAAGTCTCGACTAGAACCAGGCCTGGACTAGAACCAGACCTGAGCAATGCTTTAACTAGAACCTGGCCTGGACAATGCTTTGACTAGAACCAGGGCTTGGCATGGCCTCGACTAGATCCAGGCCTGGGCTAGGCGTCGACTAGAACCAGACCTGGGTAAGGCATCGACTAGAACCAGGCCTGGGCTAGGCCTCGACTACAACCAGGCCTAGGCTAGGCCTCGACTAGAACCAGGCCTGGGCAAGGCCTCATCTAGAACCAGGCCTGGGAAATGCCTGAATAGATCCAGGCTAGAGGGGAGTTATAAGGGGCTTAAAATCAGACCTCAAGACCATTTGGAGAGGAATTTTACTGAGGATAGACGCTCGACTCATCGCTCTGCAGATTTCCCTTCTCCTGCGAGACTCAGCCTGGCGAGCACGATTGCTTGGCGACTGGTTGGCGACTTTGCTTCGGGAGAGTTCGTGGCGATCTCTTTAGACGGGTTACAGGGTCATCGATACACCGTGCATCAACAAGTAAGTGTCTTTGTTAGTGGATAACCAGGTAATCGCGTGTGTAGTCCGTCTTACGAGACGTTACTTTGTCTCGGTTGGACGTTCGTGAGAGTTTGCTTTTTGGCGATTTGAGCCACACATCCACGCAGCATAGAGGGCGCCGTTAACTCTCAACAACACCCGCGACTGTTACTCTGCTCTGTAGAATCAGTCACATGGAGCAGATGAACTCTCCACAGTGCCAAGCCCACACGGGCGAGAAGCCATTCCATTGTTCTGTGTGTGTGAAGGAATTTTCACAGAAATCACATCTTCAGAGTCACCAGAAAACACACACGGGTGATAAGCCATTCAGGTGCTCTGTGTGTAGGAAGGCATTTTCACAGAAATCACATCTTCAGAGTCACCAGAAAACACACACGGGTGATAAGCCATTCAGGTGCTCTGTGTGTGGGAAGGAATTTTCACAGAAATCACATCTTCAGAGTCATCAGAAAACACACACGGGCGAGAAGCCATTCAATTGTTCTGCGTGTGGGAAGGCATTTGCATGGAAATCAAATCTTCACAGTCACCAGAAAACTCACACGGGATGCCTGGATGTAGTGGAGGTAATGAGTCCTGGCAACAATTACTCTTTCGACCTCATGCAGGTGGATGCTGAGAAATCGCTGCTGGAGTGGCTGGAGGGTCAAAGTTTTGAGGACTTCTGTTAACTCTTGAAGTCCTGGAATGTGCATGTTTGTGTCTCTGTTAGATCAATCGATAAGGTACACATTATTACTTCCGTGATTTCCAGTACTCCAAGCTAGAGCGATGTTGTGAATGCTCTATGATGTGTTCGGATAAAAAGGAATTCCTTTTAAGCTCCAGAAGTGTTCACTTATTTCAGGATGACAACAATTTTATACTTCCATAGATGCGTTGCTTCGTCTGGTGGTTGTATCATCGGGACTGTTAAATGTGTGGTGTTTATGGTAGAAGGTGCCACGTGTTGTCATCTTCTCACAGCTACTTGAGTGTTGAAGTTGCTTCTAGACTTCGTCACGTTAAGGTGGTGCTTTGTAGTCATATCGGATTACTTGTTGATGTGGTGTGATGCACAGTGGTTGTGAGGTGGTCCAATTCCTGATTTTACTGTCGTGACTAAGTGGCCTTGTTGAGCTAAAGTTGGAGAAAGACTGTGATCATAACGTTGCCCTATATTTTAAACATTTTTCTTTAATTTTCTTTATTGTTTAAATAAAAAAAACGTATTCAAAGTGTCGGTTTCAGAATGTGTGCTCGTTGTTCCTGTGTTTGATGGCTTGGACTTGTGGACGAACGGCTTCAGTCGATAAGGACGTCAATTGGGAAGGATTAAGAGGTTCACTTGTTTGATTTTGAGAATATTTTATGACTGTTGAATTAATGAAAGTGAAATTGTTTTCATAGTTCCTTAACCGTTTGATAAAGCGAATTAATAAAGATTAATAAAGACCTGATTTGTGTTCTTAAAGATGACTGATCGTACATTATTGCTACCATTTCCTTCCTTAAAAATAATATGGACGAGTAGACATTCACACACGAGTGTGCATCCTAACACGACTGTATATATATACAGCGGTGTGCATTCACACACGAGTGTGCATATACAGGGGTGTACATACATACTTTGAGATGACTACTCAAAGTTTATGACGGAAATTAGAACATATCATCCTCGTTTTCTAGAAACACCTCGCTCAACACGAGTGTCCTTCAATATATTTATGAAACAAAGTCAGTACACTGTAAATTTGCACCTCGTTGTCCAAATCAAACTGGACAACAGCATTTTGATTCTTTAGACTATATGTCGTTGTTTAATCCTTTAAACTTGCAGCAGTGTAGAGGACATTGCGGGGTGAATATTAGCAAATCAACAGGAAGCACGGAATTATGCATGGAGATGTACATCTTTATTCAAACGGAAGCGTACAATTATGCAGTGGGATGTACATACTTATTAAGGTTTAAGTACAATGTGCCAGATTAGCTAAGCTACGTTGATTGATATGCGGATTGTTAATGTAAAAATTAACAATTGAATGCAAAGTCCATGATAGGCCAAATCGAGAACAAAGGATTTGGATGCTAGAGGGGAGTTATAAGGGGCTTAAAATCAGACCTCAAGACCATTTGGAGAGGGATTTTCCTGAGGATAGACGCTCGACTCCTCGCTCTGCAGATTACCCTTCTCCTGCGAGACTCAGCCTGGCGAGCACGATTGCTTGGCGACTGGTTGGCGACTTTGCTTCGGGAGAGTTCGTGGCGATCTCTTCAGACGGGTTACAGGGTCATCGATACACCGTGCATCAACAAGTAAGTGTCTTTGTTAGTGGATAGCCAGGTAATGCGCGTGTGTAGTCCGACTTACGAGGCGTTACTGTGTCTCGGTTGGACGTTCGTGAGAGTTTGCTTTTTGGCGATTTGAGCCACACATCCACGCAGCATAGAGGGCGCCGTTAACTCTCAACAACACCCGCGACTGTTACTCTGCTCTGTAGAATCAGTCACATGGAGCAGATGAACTCTCCACAGTGCCAAGCACACACGGGCGAGAAGCCATTCCATTGTTCTGTGTGTGTGAAGGCATTTTCACGGAAATCAACTCTTAGCAGACACCAGAAAACACACACAGGCGAGAAGCCGTTCAATTGCTCTGTGTGTGGGAAGGCATTTGCACAGAAATCACATCTTCAGAGTCATCAGAAAACACACACGGGCGAGAAGCCATTCAAGTGTTCTGTGTGTGGGAAGGCATTTGCACGGAAAACAATTCTTCACAGTCACCAGAAAACTCACACGGGCGAGAAGCCATTCACTTGCTCTGCGTGTGGGAAGGCATTTGCATGGAAATCAAATCTTCACAGTCACCAGAAAATTCACACGGGATGGCTGGATGTAGTGGAGGTAATGAGTCCTGGCAACAATTACTCTTTCGACCTCATGCAGGTGGATGCTGAGAAATCGTTGCTGGAGTGGCTGGAGGGTCAAAGTTTTGAGGACTTCTGTTAACTCTTGAAGTCCTGGAATGTGCATGTTTGTGTCTCTGTTAGTTCAATCGATAAAGTACACATTATTACTTCCGTGATTTCCAGTACTCCAAGCTAGAGCGATGTTGTGAATGCTCTATGATGTGTTCGGATAAAAAGGAATTCATTTTAAGCTCCAGAAGTGTTCACTTATTTCAGGATGACAACAATTTTATACTTCCATAGATGCATTGTTTCGTCTGGTGGTTGTATCATCGGGACTGTTAAATGTGTGGTGTTTATGGTAGAAGGTGCCACGTGTTGTCATCTTCTCACAGCTACTTGAGTGTTGAAGTTTATTCTAGACTTCGTCACGTTAAGGTGGTGCTTTGTAGTCATATCGGATTACTTGTTGATGTGGTGTGATGCACAGTGGTTGTGAGGTGGTCCAATTCCTGATTTTACTGTCGTGACTAAGTGGCCTTGTTGAGCTAAAGTTGGAGAAAGACTGTGATCATAACGTTGCCCTATATTTTAAACATTTTTCTTTAATTTTCTTTATTGTTTAATAAAACAAAAACTATTTCTAAGTGTCGGTTTCAGAATGTGCGTTCGTTGTTCCTGTGTTTGATGGCTTGGACTTGTGGACGAATGGCTTCAGTCGATATAGACGTCAATTGGGAAGGATTAAGACGTTCACGTGTTTGATTTTGAGAATATTTTATGACTGTTGAATTACTGAAAGTGAAATAATTTTCCTGGTTCCTTAACTGTTTGAAAAAGCGAATTAATAAAGATTTCGATGCGAGTTTTAACGTTGATATTGTTGCAGATTAATAAAGACCTGATTTGTGTTTTTAAAGATGACTGATCGTACATTATTGCTACCATATCCTTCCTTAAAAAGAACATTAACGAGTAGACATTCACACACGAGTGTGCATCCTAACACGACTGTTTATATATACAGCGGTGTGCATTCACACACGAGTGTGCATATACAGGGGTGTACATACATACAGACATACAACGCAGTGTACATACACAGCAGTGTACGAACACAAGGATTGCGTTCCACTGCGAACACGCACGATTGTACCTGCATACATACACACACACACATACGTATACGGGTTTTCATTCTCAGAAGAAGAGCCACTCCATGTTGTTTGGCATTCCCCTGCCACGAATAAAGTTCTGTATTAACAACCTTCAACCTCATCGGCGTTCCCGGTCGGTAACGCTGTGGTGGATAAGAGCAATGTCCTTGAGGGAAGTCTCGTAGCCACCACAGCGGCCCACGAGGTCTCTGGACGGGTGCGAGGTGCTGGTAACACCTCCATATTCAATGCAGTTACCGTAACAAAAACACGTCCAAAATATAAAACACGTGCATAAATATTGAGCACATACACAAGAGTATACATACACACTGAAGACTAAATATGGATGATTGACTTTTTTGCGGTACGTTATGTTAAACCACGCTTACAAAGCTAAACCATTCAGATGATTACTCAAAGTTTATGACGGAAATTATAACATAACAACCTCGTTTTCTAGAAACACCCCGCTCAACACGAGTGTCCTTAAATATATTTATGAAACAAAGTCAGTACAGTGTAAATTTGCACCTCTTAGTCCAAATAAAACTCTTTATGTTGATAATTCAGACTGTGATTCGCTTTTAAATCCTGAAAATCTTGCAGCAGTGTAGAGGACATTGCGGGGTGAATATTAGCAAATTAACAGGAAGCACAGAATTATGCATGGAGATGTACATCTTTATTCAAACGGAAGCGTACAATTATGCAGTGGGATGTACATACTTATTAAGGTTTAAGTACAATGTGCCAGATTAGCTAAGCTAGGTTGATTGATATGCGGATTGTTAATGTAAAAATTAACAATTGAATGCAAAGTCCATGATAGGCCAAATCGAGAACAAAGGATTTGGATGCTAGAGGGGAGTTATAAGGGGCTTAAAATCAGACCTCAAGACCATTTGGAGAGGAATTTTCCTGAGGATAGACGCTCGACTCATCGCTCTGCAGATTTCCCTTCTCCTGCGAGACTCAGCCTGGCGAGCACGATTGCTTGGCGACTGGTTGGCGACTTTGCTTCGGGAGAGTTCGTGGCGATCTCTTCAGACGGGTTACAGGGTCATCGATACACCGTGCATCAACAAGTAAGTGTCTTTGTTAGTGGATAACCAGGTAATCGCGTGTGTAGTCCGACTTACGGGCGTTACTGTGTCTCGGTTGGACGTTCGTGAGAGTTTGCTTTTTGGCGATTTGAGCCACGCAGCTTAGAGGGCGCCGTTAACTCTCAACAACACCCGCGACTGTTACTCTGCTCTGTAGAATCAGTCACATGGAGCAGATGAACTCTCCACAGTGCCAAGCCCACACGGGCGAGAAGCCATTCCATTGTTCTGTGTGTGTGAAGGCATTTTCACGGAAATCAACTCTTAGCAGACACCAGAAAACACACACAGGCGAGAAGCCGTTCAATTGCTCTGTGTGTGGGAAGGAATTTTCACAGAAATCACATCTTCAGAGTCACCAGAAAACTCACACAGGCGAGAAGCCGTTCAATTGCTCTGTGTGTGGGAAGGCATTTGCACAGAAATCACATCTTCAGAGTCATCAGAAAACACACACTGGCGAGAAGCCATTCAAGTGTTCTGTGTGTGGGAAGGCATTTGCACGGAAAACAATTCTTCACAGTCACCAGAAAACTCACACGGGCGAGAAGCCATTCACTTGCTCTGCGTGTGGGAAGGCATTTGCATGGAAATCAAATCTTCACAGTCACCAGAAAATTCACACGGGATGGCTGGATGTAGTGGAGGTAATGAGTCCTGGCAACAATTACTCTTTCGACCTCATGCAGGTGGATGCTGAGAAATCGCTGCTGGAGTGGCTGGAGGGTCAAAGTTTTGAGGACTTCTGTTAACTCTTGAAGTCCTGGAATGTGCATGATTGTGTCTCTATTAGATCAATCAATAAGGTACACATTATTACTTCAGTGATTTCCAGTACTCCAAGCTAGAGCGATGTTGTGAATGCTCTATGATGTGTTCGGATAAAAAGGAATTCCTTTTAAGCTTCAGAAGTGTTCACTTATTTCAGGATGACAACAATTTTATACTTCCATAGATGCGTTGCTTCGTCTGGTGGTTGTATCATCGGCACTGTTAAATGTGTGGTGTTTATGGTAGAAGGTGCCACGTGTTGTCATCTTCTCACAGCTACTTGAGTGTTGAAGTTCCTTCTAGACTGCGTCACGTTAAGGTGGTGCTTTGTAGTCATATCGGATTACTTGTTGATGTGGTGTGATGCACAGTGGTTGTGAGGTGGTCCAATTCCTGATTTTACTGTCGTGACTAAGTGGCCTTGTTGAGCTAAAGTTGGAGAAAGACTGTGATCATAACGTTGCCCTATATTTTAAACATTTTTCTTTAATTTTCTTTATTGTTTAATAAAAAAAACTACTTCAAAGTGTCGGTTTCAGAATGTGCGTTCGTTGTTCCTGTGTTTGATGGCTTGGACTTGTGGACGAATGGCTTCAGTCGATATAGGCGTCAATTGGGAAGGATTAAGACATTCACGTGTTTGATTTTGAGAATATTTTATGACTGTTGAATTAATGAAAGTGAAATAATTTTCCTGGTTCCTTAACTGTTGGAAAAAGCGAATTAATAAAGATTTCGATGCGAGTTTTAACGTTAATATTGTTGCAGATTAATAAAGACCTGATTTGTGTTTTTAAATATTACTGATCGTACATTATTGCTACCATATCCTTCCTTACAAAGAACATTAACGAGTAGACATTCACACACGAGTGTGCATTCTAACACGACTGTTTATATATACAGCGGTGTGCATTCACACACGAGTGTGCATATACAGGGGTGTACATACATACAGACATACAACGCAGTGTACATACACAGCAGTGTACGAACACAAGGATTGCGTTCCACTGCGAACACGCACGATTGTACCTGCATACATACACACACACGATACGTATACGGGTTTTCATTCTCAGAAGAAGAGCCACTCCATGTTGTTTGGCATTCCCCTGCCACGAATAAAGTTCTGTATTAACAACCTTCAACCTCATCGGCGTTCCCGGTCGGTAACGCTGTGGTGGATAAGAGCAATGTCCTTGAGGGAAGTCTCGTAGCCACCACAGCGGCCCACGAGGTCTCTGGACGGGTGCGAGGTGCTGGTAACACCTCCATATTCAATGCAGTTACCGTAACAAAAACACGTCCAAAATATAAAACACGTGCATAAATATTGAGCACATACACAAGAGTATACATACACACTGAAGACTAAATATGGATGATTGATGTTTTTTTGCGGTACGTTATGTTAAACCACGCTTACAAGCTAAACCATTCAGATGATTACTCAAAGTTTGTGACGGAAATTATAACATATCAACCTCGTTTTCTAGAAACACCCCGCTCAACACGAGTGTCCTTAAATATATTTACGAAACAAAGTCAGTACAGTATAAATTTGCACCTCTTAGTCCAAATAAAACTCTTTATGTTGATAATTCAGGCTGTGTATCGCTTTTAAATCCTGATAATCTTGCAGCAGTGTAGAGGACATTGCGGGGTGAATATTAGCAAATCAACAGGAAGCACAGAATAATGCTTGGAGATGTACATCTTTATTCAAACGGAAGTGTACAATTATGCAGTGGGATGTACATACATATTGAGGTTTAAGTACAATGGCCAGATTAGCTAAGCTACGTTGATTGATATAATCGGATTGTTAATGTAATAATTAACAATTTAATGCAAAGTCCATGATAGGCCAAGTCGTGAACAAAGGATTTGGATGCTAGAGGGGAGTTATAAGGGGCTTAAAATCAGACCTGAAGACCATTTGGAGAGGAATTTTCCTGAGGATAGACGCTCGACTCATCGCTCTGCAGATTACCCTTCTCCTGCGAGACTCAGCCTGGCGAGCACGATTGCTTGGCGACTGGTTGGCGACTTTGCTTCGGGAGAGTTCGTGGCGATCTCTTTAGACGGGTTACAGGGTCATCGATACACCGTGCATCAACAAGTAAGTGTCTTTGTTAGTGGATAGCCAGGTAATCGCGTGTGTAGTCCGTCTTACGGGGCGTTACTGTGTCTCGGTTGGACGTTCGTGAGAGTTTGCTTTTTGGCGATTTGAGCCACACATCCACGCAGCATAGAGGGCGCCGTTAACTCTCCACAACACCCGCGACTGTTACTCTGCTCTGTAGAATCAGTCACATGGAGCAGATGAACTCTCCACAGTGCCAAGCCCACACGGGCGAGAAGCCATTCCATTGTTCTGTGTGTGCGAAGGCATTTTCACGGAAATCAACTCTTAGCAGACACCAGAAAACACACACGGGCGAGAAGCCGTTCAATTGCTCAGTGTGTGGGAAGACATTTGCACAGAATTCACATCTTCAGAGTCACCAGAAAACACACACGGGTGATAAGCCATTCAAATGTTCTGTGTGTGGGAAGGCATTTGCACGAAAAACAATTCTTCACAGTCACCATAAAACTCACACGGGCGAGAAGCCATTCACTTGCTCTGCGTGTGGGAAGGCATTTGCATGGAAATCAAATCTTCACAGTCACCAGAAAACTCACACGGGATGCCTGGATGTAGTGGAGGTAATGAGTCCTGGCAACAATTACTCTTTCGACCTCATGCAGGTGGATACTGAGAAATCGCTGCTGGAGTGGCTGGAGGGTCAAAGTTTTGAGGACTTCTGTTAACTCTTGAAGTCCTGGAATGTGCATGTTTGTGTCTCTGTAGATCAATCGATAAGGTACACATTATTACTTCCGTGATTTCCAATGTTACAAATTAACAATTGAATGTAAAGTCCATGATAGGCCAAGTCGAGAACAAAGGAATTGGATGCTAGAGCGAGTTATAAGGGGCTTAAAGCCATTCAAGTGCTCTGCGTGTGGGAAGGAATTTGTGGAGAAATCAAATCTTAACAGTCATCAGAAAACACACACGGGTGAGAAGCCATTCAATTGTTCTACGTTAGAGAGGACACGGTCATCACCCCGAAACAAACATGCGAAGATCCGCAATGAGAGTGAAGTGAAATCAAAAGGTGAAATGCAAAGTGCTGCAGTGAGTCCTGAACAAAATGAATCTTTCGACCCTATACAGGTGAATCCTGAGAGATGCCTGGATGTAGTGGATGCAATGACTCCTGGCAACAATTCCACTTTCGACCTCATGCAGTTGGATCCTGAGAGATTGCTGGATGTAATGAGCCCTGACCACAATTCCTCTTTCGACGCCATGCAGGTGGATGCTGAGAAATCGCTGCTGGAGTGGCTGGAGGATCAAAGTATTGAGTACTTCTGTTAACACTTGAAGTCCTGGAATGTGCATGTTTGTGTCTCTGTTAGATCAATGAACAAGGTACACATTATTACTTCCGTGATTTCCAGTACTCCAAGCTAGAGCGATGTTGTGAATGCTCTATGATGTGTTGGGATAAAAATGAATTCCTTTTAAGCTCCAGAAGTGTTCACTTATTTCAGGATGACAACAATTTTATACTTCCATAGATGCGTTACTTCGTCTGGTGGTTGTATCATCGGGACTGTTAAATGTGTGGTGTTTATGGTAGAAGGTGCCACGTGTTGTCATCTTCTCACAGCTGCTTGAGTGTTGTAGTTTATTCTAGACTTCGTCACGTTAAGGTGGTGCTTTGTAGTCATATCGGATTACTTGTTGATGTTGTGTGATGCACAGTGGTTGTGAGGTGATCCAATTCCAGATTTTACTGTCGTGACTAAGTGGCCTTGTTGAGCTATAGTTGGAGAAAGACTGTGATCATAACGTTGCCCTATATTTTAAACATTTTTCCTCAATTTTCTTTATTGTTTAATGAAAAAAAATAACTTCAAATGATAGGTTTCAGAGTGTGCGTGGATTGCTCGTTCGTTGTTCCTGTGTTTGATGGCTTGGACTTGTGGACGAATGGCTTCAGTCGATAAGGACGTCAATGGGGAAATCGACATTTACGTGTTTGATTTTGAGAATATGTTTTAACTGTTTGAATTCCTATTGGGGAAATAATTGGCCTAGTTCCTTTACTGTTTGAGCACGCGTCTTAATAAAGATGTCGATACGAGAATTAACGTGAATTTCCTTGCAGATTAATAAAAAAACCTGAATTGTTTTTAAAGATAACTGATAGTACAGACGAGTAGCCATTCACACACGTGTGCATTCAAATACGACTGTCTATTTACAGCTGTGCGCATACACACACGAGTGTACGTACACAGCAGTACAGATCCACGTACATACAAACAGTGGCAGACTAGGATAGCGGGGTTTTGTGATTATTTTAACAGATTGAACCGACGATCTGAATCTTAGATGCCCCACAACACTGAAGAACGTTAAGCGAATGCCAGAAACGCGTGACATTCTAATCCATTCTCTGTATTCCAATACAAACGCTTGGAATCATTAATAATGTTTTAAATAGTGGCCCCATGTTTAATGAGTGTTAGTGAAGTCATTAGTTTTGTTTATTTAATTCCATTTGTTCGCCTTTGCTACGGCACACCGGTTGAGATTATTCTTCCCGTTTAAGTAATCTCTCTAGAATCATTTGTAATTGTCTTGATTAACTTCCTTGCATTCTCGGAAGTAACGCTCCTCATAATCTATCAACATACCTAAGCTCATGTGGCCATTGTGCTTAAGCCTAAGTTGGAATGTTCATTTCACTGCATCATTGTTCACTTCCGTTCGAATATGGATGGGCATCTTCTTGAATAATTACGTTGTTAGTTTGCACATTTACAATGGCCTGTAAACTGCTATCGATGTATCGGCCTTACCTGTGAAATACAGTATGAAATATCGCAATGTTGATGGAGATATACTTAGACTAAGAGGTGCATGCTTCATAGCGTGCTGACGTGGTTTTATGAATGTGTTTAAGGACTCTTGTTGATCAAGGTGTGTCTAGACAACGAAGTTGAATTGTTATATTCCATCAATTAAAATGGTTACAATTGCTGGTTGTTTTTTAACCCATCTGGATGGAATAGTTTGTAAGCGTTGTTTATTATTTTGTAACGCAGCCATTATCACATTTCAGTTCTATAGCGTAAAGCATCGTGTGTATTTACACTGCTGTGTATGTACCAGTGCTGTGTGTATGTATGTGTGTGTGTATATTTTGCACGTGTGTTTTCATGGCAAAGTGCATTGAATGTGCAAGGGGTTACCAGCACCTCGCACCCGTCCAGAGACCTCGTGGCCGCTGTGGTGGCTACGAGACTTCCCACAAGGACATTGCTCTTATACACCACAGCGTTACCGACCGGCACCGCTAGTCAGGTTGGGGGTTGTTGTTTTTGTTACAGAACTTTACTCGTGTCTCAGAAGGAGGCAATCCCTGCTGTTTGTCATTCCCCTGCCACGAATAAAAGTTTATACTATTCCCCTGCCCATATCGACACGAGTGTCCTTAAATATATTTATAAATAAGGTTTACCACGGTGTAAAAACTTGCACCTCAAAGTCCAAATCACAATTTTAATACTTCAGGCTGCACTTCCCTGCTAAGGCTTTTAAACTGGCAGCAGTTTGCAGCACATTGCAGGGTGAATATTAGAAAATTATTGCGAATTATGCGGTGATATGAACATATTATTCAGGCTTAAGCTCAATGGCCAGATTAGCGAAGCTCTGTTTGCTAGATGTGCAGATTGCAAATTCCCCAAAATAACAATTGAATGTAAAGTTCATGAAATGCAGCGTCGAGAACTTCATCTTTCATCAATGCAACATCGTTCCAAACGACCCCAGCAATGTGATGCTGGTGTCAATGTCACCAATTCGAATGCTACCTGTGACTTACAGCTTTCCACAACTTACGCCACGCTCCAAAGCCCCCTTCATTCGTTTTTGTTGTGTCGCAAAAGGAGACACTCCCCGGTTGTTTAGCCGTTCCCTTTGCCACGAGTAAAGTTTTGCAAAAAAAAGACCACAACCCCGTTCCTTCATTGACGGTGGCGGACGGTAAGGCTGTGGTGGATGTGATCAATGTCCAGGAGGGAAGTCTCGCAGCCACCACAGCGGCACGCGAGGTCTCTGGACGGGTGCGTAGGGGCTGGTAACCCCTCAATATTCAATGCAATGGCCGTGAAAAAAAAAACACGTCCAAAAATTATTAAACACGTGCAAAATATTGCACAAATACACACTGGTGTATATACACACACACACCGAAGGTCGTTTGTTACAGACTAAATGGTGATGAATGTTTTGTTTGCGTTATTATAAACCACGCTTACAGGCTAAACCATTCAGATGATTATTCAAAGTTTATGACAGAAATCATAACATAACACACTCGTTTGCTAGAAGCACCCTGCTCAACACGAGTGTCCTTAAATATGTTTATAATACATTTTAGCACGGTGTAAACTTGCACATCTTAGTCCAAATCAAACTCGACGTTTTTATCTTGATAATTCAGACTGTGTATCGCTTTTAAATCCTGAAAATCTTGCAGCAGTGTAGAGGACATTGCGGGGTGAATATTAGCAAATCAACAGGAAGCACGGAATTATGCATGGAGATGTACATCTTTACTCAAACGGAAGCGTACAATTATGCAGTGGTATGTACATACTTATTAAGGTTTAAGTACAATGTGCCAGATTAGCTAAGCTACGTTGATTGATATAATTGGATTGTTAATGTAAAAATTAACAATTGAATGCAAAGTCCATGATAGGCCAAGTCGATAACAAAGGATTTGGATGCTAGAGGGGAGTTATAAGGGGCTTAAAATCAGACCTCAAGACCATTTCGAGAGGAATTTTACTGAGGATAGACGCTCGACTCCTCGCTCTGCAGATTTCCCTTCTCCTGCGAGACCCAGCCTGGCGAGCACGATTGCTTGGCGACTGGTTGGCGACTTTGCTTCGGGAGAGTTCGTGGCGATCTCTTTAGACAGGTTACAGGGTCATCGATACACCGTGCATCAACAAGTAAGTGTCTTTTTTAGTGCATAGCCTGGTAATCGCGTGTGTAGTCCGACTTACGAGACGTTACTTTGTCTCGGTTGGACGTTCGTGAGAGTTTGCTTTTTGGCGATTTGAGCCAACACATCCACGCAGCATAGAGGGCACCGCTATCTCTCAACAACACCCGCGACTGTTACTCTGCTCTGTAGAATCAGTCACATGGAGCAGATGAACTCTCCACAGTGCCACGCACACACGGGCGAGAAGCCAGTTCAATTGCTTCTGTGTGTGTGAAGGCATTTGCACAGGAAATCAACTCTTAGCAGACACCAGAAAACACACACGGGCGAGAAGGCATTCAAGTGCTCTGTGTGTGGGAAGGCATTTGCACAGAAATCAAATCTTAACACTCACAAGAAAACACACACGGGCGAGAAGCCATTCAAGTGCTCTGTCTGTGGGAAGGCATTTGCACAGAAATCAAATCTTCACAGTCACCAGAAAACACACACGGGTGAGAAGCCATTCAATTGTTCTGTGTGTGGGAAGGCATTTGCACGGAAAACAACTCTTAACAGACACCATAAAACACACACGGGTGAGAAGCCATTCAATTGTTCTCCGTTGGAGAGGACACGGTCATCACCCCGAAACAAACATGCGAAGATCTGCAATGAGAGTGAAGTGAAATCAAAAGTTGAAATGCAAAGTGCTGCAGTGAGTCCTGAACAAAATGAATCTTTCGACCCTATACAGGTGAATCCTGAGAGATGCCTGGATGTAGTGGATGTAATGACTCCTGGCAACAATTCCTCTTTCGACCTCATGCAGTTGGATCCTGAGAAATTGCTGGATGTAATGAGCCCTGACCACAATTCCTCTTTCGACCCCATGCAGGTGGATACTGAGAAATGGCTGCTGGAGTGGCTGGAGGGTCAAAGTATTGAGTACTTCTGTTAACTCTTGAAGTCCTGGAATGTGCACGTTTGTGTCTCTGTTAGATCAATCAATAAAGTACACATTATTACTTCCGTGATTTCCAGTGCTCCAAGCTAGAGCGATGTTGTGAATGCTCTATGATGTGTTGGGATAAAAAGGAATTCCTTTTCAGCTCCAGAAGTGTTCACTTATTTCAGGATGACAACAATTTTATACTTCCATAGATGCGTTGCTTCGTCCGGTGGTTGTATCATCGGGACTGTTAAATGTGTGGTGTTTATGGTTAGAACGTGCCACGTGTTGTCATCTTCTCACAGCTACCTGAGTGTTGAAGTTCCTTCTAGACTTTGTCACGTTAAGGTGGTGCTTTGTAGTCATATCGGATTACTTGTTGATGTTGTGTGATGCACAGTGGTTGTGAGGTGGTCCAATTCCTGATTTTACTGTCGTGACTAAGTGGCCTTGTTGAGCTAAAGTTGGAGAAAGACTGTGATCATAACGTTGCCCTATATTTTAAACATTTTTCTTTAATTTTCTTCATCGTTTGATTTAAAAAAAACTACTTCAAAGTGTCGGTTTCTAGAATGTGCGTTCGTTGTTCCTGTGTTTGATGGCTTGGACTTGTGGACGAATGGCTTCAGTCGACAAGGACGTCAATTGGGAAGGATTAAGACGTTCACGTGTTTGATTTTGAGAATATTTTATGACTGTTGAATTAATGAAAGTTAAATTATTTTCCTGGTTCCTTAACCTGTTTGAAAAAGCGAATTAATAAAGATTTTGATGCGAGTTTTAACGTTGATATTGTTGCAGATTAATAAAGACCTGATTTGTGTTTTTAAAGATGACTGATCGTACATTATTGCTACCATATCCTTCCTTAAAAAGAACATGGACGAGTAGACATTCACACACGAGTGTGCATCCTAACACGACTGTTTATATATACAGCGGTGTGCATTCACACACGAGTGTGCATATACAGGGGTGTACATACATACAGACATACAACGCAGTGTACATACACAGCAGTGTACGAACACAAGGATTGCGTTCCACTGCGAACACGCACGATTGTACCTGCATACATACACACACATACGTATACGGGTTTTCATTCTCAGAAGAAGAGCCACTCCATGTTGTTTGGCATTCCCCTGCCACGAATAAAGTTCTGTATTAACAACCTTCAACTTCATCGGCGTTCCCGGTCGGTAACGCTGTGGTGGATAAGAGCAATGTCCTTGAGGGAAGTCTCGTAGCCACCACAGCGGCCCACGAGGTCTCTGGACGGGTGCGAGGTGCTGGTAACACCTCCATATTCAATGCAGTTACCGTAACAAAAACACGTCCAAAATATAAAACACGTGCATAAATATTGAGCACATACACAAGAGTATACATACACACTGAAGACTAAATATGGATGATTGACTGTTTTGCGGTACGTTATGTTAAACCACGCTTACAAAGCTAAACCATTAAGATGATTACTCAAATTTTATGACGGAAATTAGAACATAACAATCCTCGTTTTCTAGAAACACCCCGCTCAACACGAGGTGTCCTTAAATATATTTATGAAACAAAGTCAGTACAGTGTAAATTTGCACCTCTTAGTCCAAATAAAACTCTTTATGTTGATAATTCAGACTGTGATTCGCTTTAAATCCTGATAATCTTGCAGCAGTGTAGAGGACATTGCGGGGTGAATATTAGCAAATTAACAGGAATCACGGAATAATGCATGGAGATGTACATTTTATTCAAACGGAAGTTTACAATTATGCACTGGGATGTACATACTTATTAAGGTTTAAGTACAATGTGCCAGATTAGCTAAGCTATGTTGATTGATATGCCGATTGTTAATGTTACAAATTAACAATTGAATGCAAAGTCCATGATAGGCCAAATCGAGAACAAAGGATTTGGATGCTAGAGGGGAGTTATAAGGGGCTTAAAATCAGACCTCAAGACCATTTGGAGAGGAATTTTCCTGAGGATAGACGCTCGACTCATCGCTCTGCAGATTTCCCTTCTCCTGCGAGACTCAGCCTGGCGAGCACGATTGCTTGGCGACTGGTTGGCGACTTTGCTTCGGGAGAGTTCGTGGCGATCTCTTTAGACGGGTTACAGGGTCATCGATACACCGTGCATCAACAAGTAAGTGTCTTTGTTAGTGGATAACCAGGTAATCGCGTGTGTAGTCCGTCTTACGGGGCGTTACTGTGTCTCGGTTGGACGTTCGTGAGAGTTTGCTTTTTGGCGATTTGAGCCACACATCCACGCAGCATAGAGGGCGCCGTTAACTCTCAACAACACCCGCGACTGTTACTCTGCTCTGTAGAATCAGTCACATGGAGCAGATGAACTCTCCACAGTGCCACGCACACACGGGCGAGAAGCCGTTCAATTGCTCTGTGTGTGGGAAGGCATTTGCACAGAAATCAAATCTTAACACTCACAAGAAAACACACACGGGCGAGAAGCCATTCAAGTGCTCTGTGTGTGGGAAGGCATTTGCACAGAAATCAAATCTTAACACTCACAAGAAAACACACACGGGCGAGAAGCCATTCAAGTGCTCTGTGTGTGGGAAGGCATTTGCACAGAAATCACATATTCACAGTCACCAGAAAACACACACGGGTGAGAAGCCATTCAATTGTTCTGTGTGTGGGAAGGCATTTGCACGGAAAACAACTCTTAACAGACACCAGAAAACACACACGGGCGAGAAGCCATTCAATTGTTCTCCGTTAGAGAGGACACGGTCATCACCCCGAAACAAACATGCGAAGATCTGCAATGAGAGTGAAGTGAAATCAAAAGGTGAAATGCAAAGTGCTGCAGTGAGTCCTGAACAAAATGAATCTTTCGACCCTATACAGGTGAATCCTGAGAGATGCCTGGATGTAGTGGATGTAATGACTCCTGGCAACAATTCCACTTTCGACCTCATGCAGTTGGATCCTGAGAGATTGCTGGATGTAATGAGCCCTGACCACAATTCCTCTTTCGACCCCATGCAGGTGGATACTGAGAAATGGCTGCTGGAGTGGCTGGAGGGTCAAAGTATTGAGTACTTCTGTTAACTCTTGAAGTCCTGGAATGTGCATGTTTGTGTCTCTGTTAGATCAATCGATAAGGTACACATTATTACTTCCGTGATTTCCAGTACTCCAAGCTAGAGCGATGTTGTGAATGCTCTATGATGTGTTCGAGAAAAAATGAATTCCTTTAAAGTTCCAGAAGTGTTCACTTATTTCAGGATGACAACAATTTTATACTTCGATAGATGCGTTGCTTCGTCCGGTGGTTGTATCATCGGGACTGTTAAATGTGTGGTGTTTATGGTAGAAGGTGCCACGTGTTGTCATCTTCTCACAGCTACTTGAGTGTTGAAGTTCCTTCTAGACTTCGTCACGTTAAGGTGGTGCTTTGTAGTCATATCGGATTACTTGTTGATGTGGTGTGATGCACAGTGGTTGTGAGGTGGTCCAATTCCTGATTTTACTGTCGTGACTAAGTGGCCTTGTTGAGCTAAAGTTGGAGAAAGACTGTGATCATAACGTTGCCCTATATTTTAAACAATTTTCTTTAATTTTCTTTATTGTTTGATTAAAAAAACTACTTCAAAGTGTCGGTTTCAGAATGTGCGTTCGTTGTTCCTGTGTTTGATGGCTTGGACTTGTGGACGAATGGCTTCAGTCGATAAGGACGTCAATTGGGAAGGATTAAGACGTTCACGTGTTTGATTTTGAGAATATTTTATGACTGTTGAATTAATGAAAGTGAAATTATTTTCCTGGTTCCTTAACTTGTTTGAAAAAGCGAATTAATAAAGATTTTGATGCGAGTTTTAACGTTGATATTGTTGCAGATTAATAAAGACCTGATTTGTGTTTTTAAAGATGACTGATCGTACATTATTGCTACCATATCCTTCCTTAAAAAGAACATGGACGAGTAGACATTCACACACGAGTGTGCATCCTAACACGACTGTTTATATATACAGCGGTGTGCATTCACACACGAGTGTGCATATACAGGGGTGTACATACATACAGACATACAACGCAGTGTACATACACAGCAGTGTACGAACACAAGGATTGCGTTCCACTGCGAACACGCACGATTGTACCTGCATACATACACACACATACGTATACGGGTTTTCATTCTCAGAAGAAGAGCCACTCCATGTTGTTTGGCATTCCCCTGCCACGAATAAAGTTCTGTATTAACAACCTTCAACTTCATCGGCGTTCCCGGTCGGTAACGCTGTGGTGGATAAGAGCAATGTCCTTGAGGGAAGTCTCGTAGCCACCACAGCGGCCCACGAGGTCTCTGGACGGGTGCGAGGTGCTGGTAACACCTCCATATTCAATGCAGTTACCGTAACAAAAACACGTCCAAAATATAAAACACGTGCATAAATATTGAGCACATACACAAGAGTATACATACACACTGAAGACTAAATATGGATGATTGATTTTTTTTGCGGTACGTTATGTTAAACCACGCTTACAAAGCTAAACCATTCAGATGATTACTCAAAGTTTATGACGGAAATTATAACATAACAACCTCGTTTTCTAGAAACACCCCGCTCAACACGAGTGTCCTTAAATATATTTATGAAACAAAGTCAGTACAGTGTAAATTTGCACCTCTTAGTCCAAATAAAACTCTTTATGTTGATAATTCAGACTGTGATTCGCTTTTAAATCCTGATAATCTTGCAGCAGTGTAGAGGACATTGCGGGGTGAATATTAGCAAATTAACAGGAAGCACAGAATTATGCATGGAGATGTACATCTTTATTCAAACGGAAGCGTACAATTATGCAGTGGGATGTACATACTTATTAAGGTTTAAGTACAATGGCCAGATTAGCTAAGCTAGGTTGATTGATATGCGGATTGTTAATGTAAAAATTAACAATTGAATGCAAAGTCCATGATAGGCCAAATCGAGAACAAAGGATTTGGATGCTAGAGGGGAGTTATAAGGGGCTTAAAATCAGACCTCAAGACCATTTGGAGAGGAATTTTCCTGAGGATAGACGCTCGACTCATCGCTCTGCAGATTTCCCTTCTCCTGCGAGACTCAGCCTGGCGAGCACGATTGCTTGGCGACTGGTTGGCGACTTTGCTTCGGGAGAGTTCGTGGCGATCTCTTCAGACGGGTTACAGGGTCATCGATACACCGTGCATCAACAAGTAAGTGTCTTTGTTAGTGGATAATCAGGTAATCGCGTGTGTAGTCCGACTTACGAGACGTTACTGTGTCTCGGTTGGACGTTCGTGAGAGTTTGCTTTTTGGCGATTTGAGCCACACATCCACGCAGCATAGAGGGCGCCGTTAACTCTCAACAACACCCGCGACTGTTACTCTGCTCTGTAGAATCAGTCACATGGAGCAGATGAACTCTCCACAGTGCCACGCACACACGGGCGAGAAGCCGTTCAATTGCTCTGTGTGTGGGAAGGCATTTGCACAGAAATCAAATCTTAACACTCACAAGAAAACACACACGGGCGAGAAGCCATTCAAGTGCTCTGTGTGTGGGAAGGCATTTGCACAGAAATAAAATCTTAACACTCACAAGAAAACACACACGGGCGAGAAGCCACTCAAGTGCTCTGTGTGTGGGAAGGAATTTTCACAGAAATCAAATCTTAACAGAAACCAGAAAACACACTCTGTTGAGAAGCCATTCAATTGTTTTGCGTTGGAGAGGACACGGTCATCACCCCGAAACAAGCATGCGAAGATCCGCAATGAGAGGGAAGTGAAATCAAAAGGTGAAATGCAAAGTGCTGCAGTGAGTCGTGAACAAAATGAATCTTTCGACCCTATTCAGGTGGATCCTGAGAGATGCCTGGATGTAGTGGATGTAATGACTCCTGGCAACAATTCCTCTTTCGACCTCATGCAGTTGGATCCTGAGAGATTGCTGGATGTAATGAGCCCTGACCACAATTCCTCTTTCGACCCCATGCAGGTGGATACTGAGAAATGTCTGCTGGAGTGGCTGGAGGGTCAAAGTTTTGAGCACTTCCGTTAACTCTTCAAGTCCTGGAGTGTGCATGATTGTGTCCCTGTTAGATCAATCGATAAGGTACACATTATTACTTCCGTGATTTACAGTACTCCAAGCTCGAGTGATGTTGTGAATGCTCTATGATGTGTTGGGATAAAAAGGAATTTCTTTTAAGTGTTGTAGTTTATTCTAGACTTCGTCACGTTAAGGTGGTGCTTTGTAGTCATATCGGAATACTTGTTGATGTGGTGTGATGCACAGTGGTTGTGAGGTGGTCCAATTCCTGATTTTACTCTCGTGACTAAGTGGCCTTGTTGAGCTAAATTTGGAGAAAGACTGTGATCATAACGTTGCCCTATATTTTTTGATTAAGAAAACTATTTTAAAGTGTCGGTTTCGGAATGTGCACACTCTTCAAACGGAAGCGTACAGTTATGCAGTGGGATGTACAAACATATTAAGGTTTAAGTACAATGGCCAGATTAGCTAAGCTAGGTTGATTGATCTGCGGATTGTTAATGTAAAAATTAACAATTGAATGCAAAGTCCATGATAGGCCAATTCGAGAACAAAGGATTTGGATGCTAGAGGGAAGTTACAAGTGGCTTAAAATCAGACATCAAGACCATTTGGAGAAGAATTTTACTGAGGATAGACGCTCGACTCATCGCTCTGCAGATTTCCCTTCTCCTGCGAGACTCAGCCTGGCGAGAACGATTGCTTGGCGACTGGTTGGCGACTTTGCTTCGGGAGAGTTCGTGGCGATCTCTTTAGACGGGTTACAGGGTCATCGATACACCGTGCATCAACAAGTAAGTGTCTTTGTGAGTGGATAACCTGGTAATCGCGTGTGTAGTCCGTCTTACGGGGCGTTACTGTGTCTCGGTTGGACGTTCGTGAGAGTTTGCTTTGTGGCGATTTGAGCCATGCAGCTTAGAGGGCGCCGTTAACTCTCAACAACACCCGCGACTGTTACTCTGCTCTGTAGAATCAGTCACATGGAGCAGATGAACTCTCCACAGTGCAAGCCCACACGGGCGAGAAGCCATTCAAGTGCTCTGTGTGTGGGAAGGCATTTGCACAGAAATCAAATCTTAACACTCACAAGAAAATACACACGGGCGAGAAGCCATTCAAGTGCTCTGTGTGTGGGAAGGCATTTGCACAGAAATCAAATCTTAACACTCACAAGAAAATACACACGGGCGAGAAGCCATTCAAGTGCTCTGTGTGTGGGAAGGCATTTGCACAGAAATCAAATCTTAACAGACACCATAAAACACACACGGGTGAGAAGCCATTCAATTGTTCTCCGTTGGAGAGGACACGGTCATCACCCCGAAACAAACATGCGAAGATCCGCAATGAGAGTGAAGTGAAATCAAAAGGTGAAATGCAAAGTGCTGCAGTGAGTCCTGAACAAAATGAATATTTCGACCCCATACAGGTGAATCCTGAGAGATGCCTGGATGTAATGAGCCCTGACCACAATTCCTCTTTCGACCTCATGCAGGTGGATACTGAGAAATGGCTGCTGGAGTGGCTGGACGGTCAAAGTATTGAGGACTTCTGTTAACTCTTGAAGTCCTGGAATGTGCATGTTTGTGTCTCTGTTAGATCAATCGATAAGGTACACATTAGTACTTCCGTGATTTCCAGTACTCCAAGCCAGAGCGATGTTGTGAATGCTCTATGATGTGTTGGGATAAAAAGAAATTCCTTTTAAGCTTCAGAAGTGTTCACTTATTTCAGGATGACAACAATTTTATACTTCCATAGATGCGTTGCTTCGTCTGGTGATTGTATCATCGGGACTGTTAAATGTGTTGTGTTTATGGTAGAAAGTGCCACGTGTTGTCATCTTCTCACAGCTGCTTGAGTGTTGTAGTTTATTCTAGACTTCGTCACGTTAAGGTGGTGCTTTGTAGTCATATCGGATTACTTGTTGATGTGGTGTGATGCACAGTGGTTGTGAGGTGGTCCAATTCCTGATTTTACTCTCGTGACTAAGTGGCCTTGTTGAGCTAAAGTTGGAGAAAGACTGTGATCTGGTGTCCTTTGTTCTCGATTTGGCCTATCATGGACTTTGCATTCAATTGTAGAGTTGTAACATTTACAATCCGCATATAAATCAACAAAGCTTAGCTAATCTGGCCATTTAAATTAAACCTTAATATGAATGTACATCCCACTGCATAATTGTACGCTTCCATTTGACTAAAATGTAAATCTCCATGCATAATTCCGTGCTTCCTGTTGATTTGCTAATATTCACCTCGCAATGTCCTCTACACTGCTGCAAGTTTAAAGGATTATACAACGACATATAGTCTAAAGAATCAAAATGCTGTTGTCCAGTTTGATTTGGACAACGAGGTGCTAATTTACAGTGTACTGACTTTGTTTCATAAATATCTTGAAGGACACTCGTGTTGAGCGAGGTGTTTCTAGAAAACGAGGATGATATGTTATAATTTCCGTCATAAACTTTGAGTAGTAATCTCAAAGTATGTATGTACACCCCTGTATATGCACACTCGTGCGTGAATGCACACCGCTGTATATATACAGTCGTGTTAGGATACACACTCGTGTGTGCATGGATACTTGTCCATATTCTTTTTAAGGAAGGAAATGGTAGCAATAATGTACGATCAGTCATCTTTAAGAACACAAATCAGGTCTTTATTAATCTTATTAATTCGCTTTTTCAAACAGTTAAGGAACTAGGAAAATAATTTCACTTTCATTAATTCAACAGTCATAAAATATTCTCAAAATCAAACACGTGAACGTCTTAATCCTTCCCAATTGACGTCTTTATTGACTGAAGCCATTCGTCCACAAGTCCAAGCCATCAAACACAGGAACAACGAACGCACATTCTGAAACCGACACTTTGAAGAAGTTTTTTTTAATCAAACAATAAAGAAAATTAAAGAAAAATGTTTAAAATTATAGGGCAACGTTATGATCACAGTCTTTCTCCAACTTTAGCTCAACAAGGCCATTTAGTCATGACAGTAAAATCAGGAATTGGACCACCTCACAACCACTGTGCATCACACCACATCAACAAGTAATCCGATATGACTACAAAGCACCACCTTAACGTGACCAAGTCCAGAATAAACTACAACACTCAAGTAGCTGTGAGAAGATGACAACACGTGGCACCTTCTACCATAAACACCACACATTTAACAGTCCCGTTGATACAACCACCAGACGAAGCAACGCATCTATGGAAGTATAAAATTGTTGTCATCCTGAAATAAGTGAACACTTCTGAAGCTTAAAAGGAATTCCTTTTTATCCCAACACATCATAGAGCATTCACAACATCCCTCTAGCTTGGAGTACTGGAAATCACGGAAGTAATAATGTGTACCTTATCGATTGATCTAACAGAGACACAAACATGCACATTCCAGGACTTGAAGAGTTAACAGAAGTCCTCAAAACTTTGACCCTCCAGCCACTCCAGCAGCGATTTCTCAGCATCCACCTGCATGAGGTCGAAAGAGTAATTGTTGCCAGGACTCATTACCTCCACTACATCCAGGCATCCCGTGTGAGTTTTCTGGTGACTGTGAAGATTTGATTTCCATGCAAATGCCTTCCCACACACAGAGCAAGTGAATGGTTTCTCGCCCGTGTGAGTTTTCTGGTGACTGTGAAGAATTGTTTTCCGTGCAAATGCCTTCCCACACACAGAACACTTGAATGGCTTCTCGCCCGTGTGTGTTTTCTGATGACTCTGAAGATGTGATTTCTGTGAAAATTCCTTCCCACACACAGAGCATTTGAACGGCTTCTCGCCCGTGTGTGTTTTCTGGTGACTCTGAAGATGTGATTTCTGTGCAAATGCCTTCCCACACACAGAGCAATTGAATGGCTTCTCGCCCGTGTGTGTTTTCTGGTGTCTGCTAAGAGTTGATTTCCGTGAAAATGCCTTCACACACACAGAACAATGGAATGGCTTCTCGCCCGTGTGTGCGTGGCACTGTGGAGAGTTCATCTGCTCCATGTGACTGATTCTACAGAGCAGAGTAACAGTCGCGGGTGTTGTTGAGAGTTAACGGTGCCCTCTATGCTGCGTGGATGTGTGGCTCAAATCGCCAAAAAGCAAACTCTCACGAACGTCCAACCGAGACACAGTAACGCCCCGTAAGACGGACTACGCACGCGATTACCAGGTTATCCACTAACAAAGACACTTACTTGTTGATGCACGGCGTATCGATGTCCCTGTAACCCGTCTAAAGAGATCGCCACGAACTCTCCCGAAGCAAAGTCGCCAACCAGTCGCCAAGCAATCGTGCTCGCCAGGCTGAGTCTCGCAGGAGAAGGGAAATCTGAAGAGCGATGAGTCGAGCGTCTATCCTCAGTACAATTCCTCTCCAAATGGTTTTGAGGTCTGATTTTAAGCCCCTTATAACTCCCCTCTAGCATCCAAATCCTTTGTTCTCGATTTGGCCTATCATGGACTTTGCATTCAATTGTTAATTTGTAACATTAACAATCGGCATATCAATCAACATAGCTTAGCTAATCTGGCCATTGTACTTAAATCTTAATAAGTATGTACATCCCACTGCATAATTGTACACTTCCGTTTGAATAAAGATGTACATCTCCAAGCATTATTCCGTGCTTCCTGTAAATTTGCTAATATTCACCCCGCAATGTCCTCTACAATGCTGCAAGATTTTCAGGATTTAAAAGCGATACACAGTCTGAATTATCAACATAAAGAGTTTTATTTGGACTAAGAGGTGCAAATTTACACTGTACTGACTTTGGTTCGTAAATATTTTTTAAGGACACTCGTGTTGAGCGGGGTGTTTCTAGAAAACGAGGTTGATATGTTATAATTTAAGTCATACACTTTGAGTAATCAGCGGGCTAGATTAGCTTGTAAGCGTGGTTTTACATAACGTACCGCAAAAAAAAATCAATCTTCCATATTTAGTCTTCAGTGTGTATGTATACTCTTGTGTATGTGCTCAATATTTATGCACGTGTTTTATATTTTGGACGTGTTTTTGTTACGGTAACTGCATTGAATATGGAGGTGTTACCAGCACCTCGCACCCGTCCAGAGACCTCGTGGTCCGCTGTGGTGGCTACGAGACTTCCCTCAAGGACATTGCTCTTATCCACCACAGCGTTACCGACCGGGAACGCCGATGAAGTTGAAGGTTGTTAATACAGAACTTTATTCGTGGCAGGGGAATGCCAAACAACATGGAGTGGCTCTTCTTCTGAGAATGAAAACCCGTATAGGTATGTGTGTGTGTATGTATGCAGGTACAATCGTGCGTGTTCGCAGTGGAACGCAATCCTTGTGTTCGTACACTGCTGTGTATGTACACTGCGTTGTATGTCTGTATGTATGTACACCCCTGTATATGCACTCGTGTGTGAATGCACACCGCTGTATATATAAACAGTCGTGTTAGGATGCACACTCGTGTGTGAATGTCTACTCGTTAATGTTCTTTTTAAGGAAGGATATGGTAGCCATAATGTACGATCAGTCATCTTTAAAACACAAATCAGGTCTTTATTAATCTGCAACAAAATCAACGTTAAAACCTAGCGTCAAAATCTTTATTAATTCGCTTTTTCAAACAGTTAAGGAACCGGGAAAATTATTTCACTTTCATTAATTCAACAGTCATAAAATAGTCTCAAAATCCTTCCCAATTGATGTCCTTATCCCACTCATTCACCCACCCACCCACTCAATCACCTACCCACTCACCCAGTCACTCACCCACTCACAAACTCACTCACCCACTCAACCACCCACTCACTCACTCACCCACTCACTCACCCACCCACCCACTCACCCACTCACTCACCCACCCACTCACCCACCCACCAACGCACCTACCCACTCACTCACCCACCCACCCACCCACACACCTACCCACTCACTCACTCACCCACCCACCCTCACACAAAACCAACCAGACACTTGTAAACTGAATGCAAATGCTTTATTTGTGTATTTACATCTGAACATTACCCAAAGAATCACTCACAGACTCACCCAGACTCACTCAGACTCACTTAACTCAGCCACAGACTCACTCACAGACTCACCCACAGACTCACTCACAGACTCACCCACTGACTCACTCACAGACTCACCCAGACTCACTCACAGACTCACCCAAAGCTCCCACCTGTAGCCTTTCGCAGACTGTTGGGGCAAGTGCTGTTAGTAGCGAGTAGCAGAAGCACCTCACTCACCCAATACCCCACCCACTCACTCATCGACTCACTCACTTACCCACAAACCCACCCACCCACTCACCCACTAAGCCACCAGCCCAGCCACTAACCCACTCACTCACCCATTCATTCACCCACCCACTCAACAACCCACTCACCAATCCACTCACTCACTCACCCACTCACTCACCACCCACCCACTCACTCACCACTCACCCACTCACTCACCCAACCATTCACCCACTCTCTCACCCATTCACCCACTCACCACCCACCCACTCACTCACCTAACCCACTCACCAAGCCACTCACTCACCCATTCACCCACTCACTCACCCAGCATAATCGAGGCCTCATTCAGGCTCAACTTAGGATATGTGCGGCCTAGTGCAGGCTCTGCCTAGGATACGAGAGGCCTGGATCTAGTCAGGCATTTCCCAGGCCTGGTTCTAGTCGAGGCCTAGCCCAGGCCTGGTTCTAGTCGAGACCTTGCTCTAGCCTGTTTCTAGTCGAGGCCTAGCCCAGGACTGGTTCAAGTCGAGGCCTTGCCCGGGCCTGGTTCTCGACAAGGTCTTGCCCAGGCCTACTTATAGTCGAGGCCTAGCCCAGGCCTGGTTCTATTCGATGCCTTTCCCAGGCCTGGTTGTAACTGAGGCCTTGCCCAGGCCTGGTTCTTGAAGAGGCCTTGTGCAGGCCTGGTTCTAGTGGAGGCCTAGCCCAGGCCTAGTTCTATTCGAGGCCTAACCCAGGCTGGTTGTAGTGGAGGCCTAGCCCAGGGTTCATTCTAGTCGAGGCCTAGCCCAGGCTTGGTTCTATTGGAGACCTAGCCCAGCGTTCATTCTAGTCGAGGCCTAGCCCAGGCTTGGTTCTAATGGAGGCCTAGCCCAGGCTTGGATCTATAAGGAGGCCTAGCCTAGGGCTTGGTTCTAGTTGAGGCCTAGCCCAGGGTTCGTTCTAGAGGAGGCCTAGCCCAGGCTTGGTCGTAGTGGAGGCATAGCCCAGGCCTGGTTCTAGTCGAGGCCTAGCCAAGCCTGGATCTAGTCGAGGCCTAGTCCAGGCCTGGTTCTAGTCGAGGCCTAGTCCAGGCCTGGTTCTAGTCGAGGCCTTGACCAGGCCTGGTTCTGCTGCCCCGAGTAGAGGACTGTCCACCCCTCATGGTGGCAGGAACCAGAACCGGTCCACCGGACCTCCTGAATGCCACAGAGATCCAGGCGGCACCGGTCCAGCTCCCAACAGAGGAGTGGCAGGCTCTCCTCCGCAGTGAGCGTTCGAACATTCCACGTGGCCACCCGTAGTGGTTTTTCGTTGTTTCTGGAGGAGCCCCGAGGGTAGAGATTCAATCTCCTGGCTCCGCCAATTGGGGTTTGGCCAGGAGACGTCATAGACGCCTGTCCCCCCGGGGCCTCCGGCACAAGCTTATTAGTTATATACTTAATTCGCGGTTTAGTGGTAATTTATTGAAGGTGGAGGGGTTACCAGCCCCTCGCACCCGTCCAGAGCCCCCGTTTAGCCACTGTGGTGGTCACAGACGGCATGAGGGGAGGAGCCAATCAAAATTGGACCTCACCCCACAGCACTGTCCACGACAGAGTTGCCCGTCCGGCACCGCGAGGAGGTAATGAAAAGCTGTCACATGGAAAGAGCTGTGATCACGGTGATGGTGATGATGGTGGTATTAATATTTTCTGATGTTACCAAGGTTATGATGTTGCTGATGAAGTTTGCCATTGTTTGAATTAAATAATTGAAGCAATGGAGATGTTTGGAGTTACTCACATACTCAATCACACACACTCACACACTCACCACTCACAATCACTCATCACACACGCACCCTTCCACGCACCCACTCACCTCACCCACTCGCCACTCATTCACTCACTCATCCACCCACTCACTAACTCACCAACTCACTCACGCACCCACGCACCCACCCACGCACTCACCAAATCACTCACTCACCCACTCACTCACCTCACTCACCCACTCACTCACCCACCCACTCACCCACTCATTCACCCACCCACCCACTCAATCACCCACCCACTCACCCAGTCACTCACCCACTCACAAACTCACTCACCCACTCAACCACCCACTCACTCACTCACCCACTCACTCACCCACCCACTCACCCACTCACTCACCCACCCACTCACCCACCCACCAACGCACCTACCCACTCACTCACCCACCCACACACCTACCCACTCACTCACTCACCCACCCACCCTCACACAAAACCAACCAGACACTTGTAAACTGAATGCAAATGCTTTATTTGTGTATTTACATCTGAACATTACCCAAAGAATCACTCACAGACTCACCCAGACTCACTCAGACTCACTTAACTCAGCCACAGACTCACTCACAGACTCACCCACAGACTCACTCACAGACTCACCCACTGACTCACTCACAGACTCACCCAGACTCACTCACAGACTCACCCAAAGCTCCCACCTGTAGCCTTTCGCAGACTGTTGGGGCAAGTGCTGTTAGTAGCGAGTAGCAGAAGCACCTCACTCACCCAATACCCCACCCACTCACTCATCGACTCACTCACTTACCCACAAACCCACCCACCCACTCACCCACTAAGCCACCAGCCCAGCCACTAACCCACTCACTCACCCATTCATTCACCCACCCACTCAACAACCCACTCACCAATCCATGCACTCACTCACTCACCCACTCACTCACCACCCACCCACTCACTCACCACTCACCCACTCACTCACCCAACCATTCACCCACTCTCTCACCCATTCACCCACTCACCACCCACCCACTCACTCACCTAACCCACTCACCAAGCCACTCACTCACCCATTCACCCACTCACTCACCCAGCATAATCGAGGCCTCATTCAGGCTCAACTTAGGATATGTGCGGCCTAGTGCAGGCTCTGCCTAGGATACGAGAGGCCTGGATCTAGTCAGGCATTTCCCAGGCCTGGTTCTAGATGAGGCCTTGCCCAGGCCTGGTTCTAGTCGAGGCCTTACCCAGGTCTGGGTCTAGTCGAGACCTAGTCCACTCCTGGTTCTAGTCGAGGCCTTACCCAGGCCTGGATCTAGGCGAGGCCTTGCCCAGGCCTGGATCCAGGCGAGGCCTAGCCCAGGCCTGGTTCTAGTCGAGGCTTTGCCCAGGCCTAGATCTTTTCGAGGCCTAACCCAGGCTGGTTGTAGTGGAGGCCTAGCCCAGCGTCCATTCTAGTCGAGGCCTAGCCCAGGCTTGGTTCTAATGGAGGCCTAGCCCAGGCTTGGTTCTAATGGAGGCATTTCCCTGGGCTTGGTTCTAGTTGAGGCCTAGCCCAGGGTTCGTTCTAGAGGAGGCCTAGCCCAGGCTTGGTTCTAGTGGAGGCCTAGTCCAGGGTTCTTTCTAGTCGAGGCCTAGCCCAGGCTTGGTCGTAGTGGAGGCATAGCCCAGGCCTGGTTCTAGTCGAGCGCTAGCCCAGGCCTGGATCTAGTCGAGGCCTAGTCCAGGCCTGGTTCTAGTCGAGGCATTGCTCAGGCCTGGTTCTCGTCGAGGCCTGATTGAGGCTCAACTTAGGATATGTGCGGCCTAGTTCAGGCTCAACCTAGGATACGAGAGGCCTGGATCTAGTCAGGCCTTGCTCTGGCCTGGTTCTAGGTGAGGCCTAGTCCAGGCCTGGATCTAGTCTCGGCTTTGCTCAGGCATGGTTCTAGTCGAGGCCTAGTCCAGGCCTGGTTCTAGTCGAGGCCTTGACCAGGCCTGGTTCTAGTCAAAGCATTGCCCAGGCCTGGTTCTAGTCGAGGCCTAGCCCAGGACTGGTTCTAGTCGAGGCTTTGCCCAGGCCTATATCTATTCGAGGCCTAACCCAGGCTAGGTTCTATTGGAGGCCTAGCCCAGGCTTGGTGTTAGTCGAGGCCTAGCCCAGGCTTGGTTCTATTGGAGGCCTAGCCCAGGCTTGGCTCTAGTCGAGGCCTAGCCCAGGCTGTTGAGCCTTCCTCCGCCTGCGCCGCCTTCGTCGTAGCGGGCAGCCTCCTGTGCCACTCACTCACCTCACCCACCCATTCACCACTCACCTCACCCATCCACTCACCTCACCCACTCACCTCACCCATCCACTCACCACTCACTCACCCACCCATTCACCACTCACCTCACCCACTCACCACTCACCTCACCCATCCACTCACTCATCCATTCACCACTCACCCATCCACTCACGACTCACCCACCCATCCACTCACTCACCCATCCCCTCACCCACCCATTCACCACTCACCTCACCCACCCATTCACCACTCACTCACCCATCCACTCACTCACTCTCACTCACCCATCCACTCACCCATCCACTCACCACTCACTCACCCATCCACTCACCACTCACTCACCCACCCATTCACCACTCACCTCACCCACCCACCCACTCACCCATTCACCACTCACCTCACCCACTCACCACTCACCTCACCCATCCACTCACTCATCCATTCACCACTCACCCATCCACTCACGACTCACCCACCCATCCACTCACTCACCCATCCCCTCACCCACCCATTCACCACTCACCTCACCCACCCATTCACCACTCACTCACCCATCCACTCACTCACTCTCACTCACCCATCCACTCACCCATCCACTCACCACTCACTCACCCATCTACTCACCACTCACTCACCTCACCCACGCACTCACGACTCACCCACTCACCCACCCATCCACTCACCACTCACCCATCCACTCACCTCACCCACTCACCCATCCACTCACTCACCTCACCCACCCATTCACGACCCATCCACTCACCCACTCACCCATCCACTCACCACTCACTCACTCATCCACTCACCCCACCACTCACGACTCACCCACCTATCCACTCACCCACCCATCCACTCACCACTCACCCATCCACTCACCTCACCCACCCATTCACGACCCATCCACTCACCCCACCCACTCACCACTCACCCATCCACTCACCACTCACCCATCTACTCACCACTCACCACTCACCCATCCACTCACCACTCACCCACCCACTCACGACCCATCCACTCACCACTCACTCATCCACTCACCACTCACCCACCCATCCACTCACCACTCACCTCACCCACCCACTCACCACTCACCTCACCCACCCACTCACGACTCACCCATCCACTCACCACTCACCCACCCATCCACTCACCACCCACTCACGACTCACCCACTCACTCACCACTCAATCACCCATCCACTCACCACCCACTCACGACTCACCCACTCACCCACCCACCCAGAGAAAGCTGGGAGTCTGTGTGGTAGTGAATTTTATTCACATTTAATAATGGCCAGTTCACAGTCTGTGTGTGTACCTGTGTGTCTGTGTGTGTGTCTGTGTGTGTGTCTGTCTTCTGTCTGTGTGTGTCTGTGAGTCGGAAATTATAATGTTATATTATAATTTCCGTCATAAACTTTGAGTAATCATCTGAATGGTTTAGATTGTAAGCGTGGTTTAACATAACGTACCGCAAAAAAAATCAATCATCCATATTTAGTCTTCAGTGTGTATGTATACTCTTGTGTATGTGTTCAATATTTATGCACGTGTTTTATATTTTGGACGTGTTTTGTTACGGTAACTGCATTGAATATGGAGGTGTTACCAGCACCTCGCACCCGTCCAGAGACCTCGTGGGCCGCTGTGGTGGCTACGAGACTTCCCTCAAGGACATTGCTCTTATCCACCACAGCGTTACCGACCGGGAACGCCGACGAAGTTGAAGGTTGTTAATACAGAACTTTATTCGTGGCAGGGGAATGCCAAACAACATGGAGTGGCTCTTCTTCTGAGAATGAAAACCCGTATACGTATGTGTGTGTATGTATGCAGGTACAATCGTGCGTGTTCGCAGTGGAACGCAATCCTTGTGTTCGTACACTGCTGTGTATGTACACTGCGTTGTATGTATGTACACCCCTGTATATGCACACTCGTGTGTGAATGCACACCGCTGTATATATAAACAGTCGTGTTAGGATGCACACTCGTGTGTGAATGTCTACTCGTCCATGTTCTTTTTAAGGAAGGATATGGTAGCAATAATGTACGATCAGTCATCTTTAAAAACACAAATCAGGTCTTTATTAATCTTTATTAATTCGCTTTTTCAAACAGTTAAGGAACTATGAAAATAATATAACTTTCATTAATTCAACAGTCATAAAAAAATTCTCAAAATCAAACACGTGAATGTCTTAATCCTTCCCAATTGACGTCCTTATGGACTGAAGCCATTCGTCCACAAGTCCAAGCCATCAAACACAGGAACAACGAACGCACATTCTGAACCCGACACTTTGAAGAAGTTTTTTTAATCAAACAATAAAGAAAATTAAAGAAAAATGTTTAAAATATAGGGCAACGTTATGATCACAGTCTTTCTCCAACTTTAGCTCAACAAGGCCACTTAGTCACGACAGTAAAAGCAGGAATTGGACCACCTCACAACCACTGTGCATCACACTACATCAACAAGTAATCCGATTTGACTACAAAGCACCACCTTAACGTGACGAAGTCTAGAATAAACTACAACTCTCAAGTAGCTGTGAGAAGATGACAACACGTGGCACCTTCTACCATAAACACCACACATTTAACAGTCCCGATGATACAACCACCAGACGAAGCAACGCATCTATGGAAGTATAAAATTGTTGTCATCCTGAAATAAGTGAACACTTCTGGAGCTTAAAAGTAATTCCTTTTTTATCCCAACACATCATAGAGAATTCACAACATCGCTCTAGCTTGGACTACTGGAAATCACGGAAGTAATAATGTGTACCTTATCGATTGATCTAACAGAGACACAAACATGCACATTCCAGGACTTCAAGAGTTAACAGAAGTCCTCAAAACTTTGACCCTCCAGCCACTCCAGCAGCGATTTCTCAGCATCCACCTGCATGAGGTCGAAAGAGTAATTGTTGCCAGGACTCATTACCTCCACTACATCCAGGCATCCCGTGTGAGTTTTCTGGTGACTGTGAAGATTTGATTTCTATGCAAATGCCTTCCCACACGCAGAGTGAATGGCTTCTCGTCCGTGTGTGTTTTCTGGTGACTCTGAAGATGTGAATTCTGTGCTAATGCCTTCCCACATACAGAGCAATTGAACGGCTTCTCGCCCGTTTGTGTTTTCTGGTGTTTGTTAAGAGCTGATTTATCCGCAAATGCCTTCCCACAAACAGAGCACTTGAATGGCTTCTCGCCCGTGTGCGTTTTCTGGTGTCTGCTAAGAGTTGATTTCCGTGAAAATGCCTCCCCACACACAGAGCAATTGAATGGCTTCTCGCCCGTGTGTGTTTTCTGGTGTCTGCTAAGAGTTGATTTCCGTGAAAATGCCTTCACACACACAACAATTGAACGGCTTCTCGCCCGTGTGGGCTTGACACTGTAGAGAGTTCATCTGTTCCATGTGACTGATTCTACAGAGCAGAGTAACAGTCGCGGGTGTTGTTGAGAGTTAAAGGCACCCTCTATGCTGCGTGGATGTATGGCTCAAATCGCCAAAAAGCAAACTCTCACGAACGTCCAACCGAGACACAGTATCGTCTCGTAAGTCGGACTACACACGCGATTACCTGGCTATCCACTAACAAAGACACTTACTTGTTGATGCACGGTGCATCGATGACCCTGTAACCCGTCTGAAGAGATCGCCACGAACTCTCCCGAAGCAAAGTCGCCAACCAGTCGCCAAGCAATCGTGCTCGCCAGGCTGAGTCTCGCAGGAGAAGGGAAATCTGCAGAGCGAGGAGTCGAGCGTCTATCCTCAGGAAAATTCCTCTCGAAATGATCTTGATGTCTGATTTTAAGCCCCTTCTAACTCCCCTCTAGCATCCAAATCCTTTCTTCTCGATTTGGCCTATCATGGACTTTGCATTAAATTGTTAATTTTCACATTAACAATCCGCATATCAATAAACGTAGCTTAGCTAATCTGGCCTTGCTCTGGCCTGGTTCTAGGTGAGGCCTAGTCCAGGCCTGGATCTAGTCTCGGCTTTGCTCAGGCCTGGTTCTAGTCGAGGCCTAGTCCAGGCCTGGTTCTAGTCGAGGCCTTGACCAGGCCTGGTTCTAGTCAAAGCATTGCCCAGGCCTGGTTCTAGTCGAGGCCTAGCCCAGGACTGGTTCTAGTCGAGGCTTTGCCCAGGCCTATATCTATTCGAGGCCTAACCCAGGCTAGGTTCTATTGGAGGCCTAGCCCAGGCTTGGTGTTAGTCGAGGCCTAGCCCAGGCTTGGTTCTATTGGAGGCCTAGCCCAGGCTTGGCTCTAGTCGAGGCCTAGCCCAGGCTGTTGAGCCTTCCTCCGCCTGCGCCGCCTTCGTCGTAGCGGGCAGCCTCCTGTGCCACTCACTCACCTCACCCACCCATTCACCACTCACCTCACCCATCCACTCACCTCACCCACTCACCTCACCCATCCACTCACCACTCACTCACCCACCCATTCACCACTCACCTCACCCACTCACCACTCACCTCACCCATCCACTCACTCATCCATTCACCACTCACCCATCCACTCACGACTCACCCACCCATCCACTCACTCACCCATCCCCTCACCCACCCATTCACCACTCACCTCACCCACCCATTCACCACTCACTCACCCATCCACTCACTCACTCTCACTCACCCATCCACTCACCCATCCACTCACCACTCACTCACCCATCCACTCACCACTCACTCACCCACCCATTCACCACTCACCTCACCCACCCACTCACCCATTCACCACTCACCTCACCCACTCACCACTCACCTCACCCATCCACTCACTCATCCATTCACCACTCACCCATCCACTCACGACTCACCCACCCATCCACTCACTCACCCATCCCCTCACCCACCCATTCACCACTCACCTCACCCACCCATTCACCACTCACTCACCCATCCACTCACTCACTCTCACTCACCCATCCACTCACCCATCCACTCACAACTCACTCACCCATCTACTCACCACTCACTCACCTCACCCACCCACTCACGACTCACCCACTCACCCACCCATCCACTCACCACTCACCCATCCACTCACCTCACCCACTCACCCATCCACTCACTCACCTCACCCACCCATTCACGACCCATCCACTCACCCACTCACCCATCCACTCACCACTCACTCACTCATCCACTCACCCCACCACTCACGACTCACCCACCTATCCACTCACCCACCCATCCACTCACCACTCACACATCCACTCACCTCACCCACCCATTCACGACCCATCCACTCACCCCACCCACTCACCACTCACCCATCCACTCACCACTCACCCATCTACTCACCACTCACCACTCACCCATCCACTCACCACTCACCCACCCACTCACGACCCATCCACTCACCACTCACTCATCCACTCACCACTCACCCACCCATCCACTCACCACTCACCTCACCCACCCACTCACCACTCACCTCACCCACCCACTCACGACTCACCCATCCACTCACCACTCACCCACCCATCCACTCACCACCCACTCACGACTCACCACTCAATCACCCATCCACTCACCACTCACCACCCACTCACGACTCACCCACTCACCCACCCACCCACCCAGAGAAAGCTGGGAGTCTGTGTGGTAGTGAATTTTATTCAGATTTAATAATGGCCAGTTCACAGTCTGTGTGTGTACCTGTGTGTCTGTGTGTGTGTCTGTGTGTCTGTCTGTGTGTAACTGTGTGTGTGTGCGTGTGTCTGTCTGTGTGTGACTGTACGTCTGTGTGTGTGACCGTGTGTGTCTGTCTGTGTGTGTGACTGTCTGTGTGTACGTCTGTGTGTGTACGTCTGTGTTTGTGTCTGTCTTCTGTCTGTGTGTCTGTGAGTCTGTCTGTGTGTGTGTCTGTGTGTCTGTGTGTGTGTGCGTGTGTGACTGTGTGTGAATGTGTGTGTGTACGTCTGTGTGTGTGTGTACGTCTGTGTGTGTGACTGTGTGTGTGTGTCTGTGTGTGTGTCTGTGTGTGGGGAGCGATAGTGTAGCGGTTAGCGCGCTGCGCTATGAACCTGGTCGACCCGGGTTCGATTCCCGCTCACGGCCAACACCAGTGACGATTATCTGAACCGGTCTCGGGCCTCCCCTAGGTCGACTCAGCCTCAAATGAGTACCTGGTGCGGTGTGTAAACATTGCCACTAGGGAGACAAAGGCGGTCGGGCGTGGTCCTGGCCACCCACCCCCTCGTGTACCGTTCCGGCCTTCATAGGTGCTCACTAATAGCACTTGCCCCTACAGTCTGTTAAGGCTACACGGGGGAGCTTTGAGCTTTGTTGTGTCTGTGTGTGTGTCTGTGTGTGATGTCTGTGTGTGGTCCTGGCAAGGATTATTCAGCATCGCCTTGCCAGGCACGCTGAGGAGAGGCTTGCGGAGCCCCAATGCGGTTTCAGGAAAGGGCGGTCCTGCACAGATGCCATATTTTCTGTCCGTCTGCTACAGCAGAGGTGTAGGGAATTCCAACAAGACCTACATCTCTGCTTTATTGACCTGGTCAAGGCCTATGATACCATCAGTAGGCCTGGGCTCTGGGTCGTTCTTCGTGCTTTTGGAGTACCTGACCCTCTGCTCACGATCATTAAGGACCTTCATGATGGTGAGCGGGCCCGGGTAAAACTACGTGGCCGGGAGTCAGAGCCATTCCCTGTACACCTTGGGGTGCGACAGGGATGTCCTCTGGCTCCCACATTATTTAACATCTATTTTGACCACGTAGTTCGTGAAGCCTTCAATAGCTGTACCGGGGGAATCTCCATATGGTACAGATATAATGGGAGGCTAATTGATGCCCGGGTGCGGTCAAGGGATGGCTCCCTATTGCTCAACCACGTTATGTATGCTGATGATTTGGTAATAGCTGCTCAGTCAGAGGAGGAGTTGGAGACGCTGCTGCTGAGACTGGAGCGTGCCACTAAGAGGTGGGGCCTTACCATCAGCCCCACCAAAACTAAGCACCTGCCTGGGTATTTTGTACCATCGGACACTCCACCCCCACAACTCCCAATCGGTGATGGGGCAGTTGTGGAGAGAGTGGAGAGTTTCCCATACCTGGGCAGTGTGCTTATGACTGGCTCCAGTTTAACAGCAGAGGTCTCACTCCGAATCAGTCGAGCGGCAATATCTTTTCATCGGTTGCGTAACGCTGTGTGGAAGCTACCTGGTCTGTCGCTCCGCACTAAGCTTCAGGTCTTCTCGGCCACGGTCATTCCCTCCCTTCTCTACGCTTGCGAAACGTGGACCCCCCTAATGGAACATCTTCGCCGGTTAGAAACATTTAGGCTGGCCTGCCTACGATCCATCCTGGGTTTAACCAGACTGGATTGTGTGAGGAGCTCACAAATCCTTGAAAGATCTGGGCAGGGTCCCATTGGTGAGCTCCTCCGGCAGGCAAGGCTGCGATGGCTGGGTCATGTAGCCCGCATGCCCAGCCACCGCATGCCGAAACAGCTTTTGTTTGGCCGGATTGAGGGGGCTAAGCGGGCGCGGCACGGGCTAGAGAAGAGATGGAGTGATGTGGTACAGGAGGACGTGGAGCTGAGTGGACTTGCCGATGACTGGTACCAGCGGTGTCAAGATCGGCCTCTGTGGAGGAGGCTCGTGAAGGATGCTACTGGGCAGTTGGAGGCAGTCGCCCTCCAACAACAACGGAGGGCGGAGGAGCGACGCTCACAACAGCGAGCGGAGCGCCGGGTGGCTAAAGCACAGCAGGTTGGCACAGTAGGGGGCACAGGTGGTGCATCAGCCAGTCATCTCAGTCATCTCAGTCAGTCGACCCGTGGCACCTGGGTCTGCCCCGTGACCTCCTGCCAGCGGGCGTTCGACACTTCACGTGGCCTCAGGGTGCACATAGCCTGGCACAAGCGTCGTGGTGACGTCACCGCCACTTAGTGGCGAATGGCGGTTGTTGTTGTTGTCTGTGTGTGTCTGTGTGTATGTGTGTCTGTGTGTGTCTGTGTGTGTGTCTGTGTGTCTGTGTGTGTCTGTGTGTGTCTGTGTGTGTGTACGTCTGTGTGTCTGTGTGTGTCTGTGTATGTGTCTGTGTGTGTGTGTGTGACTGTGTGTGTGTCTGTGTGTCTGTGTCTGTGTGTGTCTGTGTGTGTGTACGTCTGTATGTGTCTGTGTATGTGTCTGTGTGTATGTGTGTCTGTGTGTGTGTCTGTGTGTGTGTCTGTGTGTGTGTCTGTGTGTGTCTGTGTGTGTGTCTGTGTGTGTCTGTATGTGTCTGTGTGTGTGACTGTGTGTGTGACTGTGTGTGTGTCTGTGTGTGTGTCTGTGTGTGTCTGTATGTGTCACCCACTCATCCACCCACTCATCCACCCACCAACTCACTCACCCATCCACGCACCCACCCACGCACTCACCCACTCACTCACTCACCCACCCACTCAATCACCCACCCACTCACCCAGTCACTCACCCACTCACAAACTCACTCACCCACTCACCCACTCACTCACTCACCCACCCATCCTCACACAAAACCAACCAGACACTTGTAAACTGAATGCAAATGCTTTATTTGTGTATTTACATCTGAACATTACCCAAAGAATCACTCACAGACTCACCCAGACTCACTCAGACTCACTTAACTCAGCCACAGACTCACTCACAGACTCACCCACAGAGTCACTCACAGACTCACCCAGACTCACTCACAGACTCACCCAAAGCTCCCACCTGTAGCCTTTCGCAGACTGTTGGGGCAAGTGCTGTTAGTAG